TTATGTCAAAATCAGTAGAAAGAGGAGAAGAAGAAAGGAACGTGTATCGAGGAAAGGGATGAAAGACGAACTATGAAACAGTGTGTATAGTCACTGAATAGACTAAGAAATTGAAGGAAAACACGTCGTATTCGTTTCCAATACTATAATCGATACAAGTAATAAGAAAAATTCGTCAAAATTGCATACTTTATGTCAAAATCAGTAGAAAGAGGAGAAGAAGAAAGAAACGTGTATCGAGGAAAGGGATGAAAGGCGAGCTATGAAACAGTGTGCATAGTCACTGAATAGACTGAGAAATTGAAGGAAAACACGTGGTACTCATTTTCAATACTACTATCGATACAAGTAATAAGAAAAATTCGTCAAAATTGCATACTTTATGTCAAAATCAGTAGAAAGAGGAGAAGAAAAAAGGAACGTGTATCGAGGAAAGGGATGAAAGGCGAGCTATGAAACAGTGTGCATAGTCACTGAATAGACTGAGAAATTGAAGGAAAGCACGTGGTACTCATTTTTAATACTACTATCGATGCAATTAATGAGAAAAATTCGTCAAAATTGCATGCTTTATGTAAAAATCAGTAGAAAGAGGGGAAGAAAGAAGAAACGTGTATCGAGGAAAGGGATGAAAGGCGAGCTATGAAACAGTGTGCATAGTCACTGAATAGACTGAGAAATTGAAGGAAAACACGTGGTATTCATTTCCAATACTACTATCGATGCAATTAATGAGAAAAATTCGTCAAAATTGCATGCTTTATGTAAAAATCAGTAGAAAGAGGGGAAGAAGAAAGGAACGTGTATCGAGGAAAGGGATGAAAGGCGAGCTATGAAACACTGTTCATAGTCGCAGGATAGACTGAGAAATTGGAGGAAAACTCGTGGTATTCGTTTCTCCGTTATTTTTGTTGAGGCTGGTCGTGAGCAAGCCAGGAACGACTCTTTTATATCCACGCTGGCGTAATCGTAACGGATTACTTTGCTCGTTAACTGTTCGCGTCGCGCGGCTGAAACGAGCGGAAAAGCGCGGCCACGGCGACCGATCCGCCGGAAATGAATCGGGATTACTTTTACAGCGCGTTTGAAAGTTGGAAGCAGAGCAGACAGAGCGCGGGGCGCAGGGCGAGAAGGAGCAGGACAAAATGGCGGAGAGACGGAGGGTGAAGTTCGACGCGGAGTTCCGAGTGGTTGGAAATTAGCTTACTTAGACGGCAGACTGGAAATATTGGCAGATAAGCGATATAGCTGGCGTCCGACCGATAAGAGAACAGCGTAGGGTTGCCCTGTTCTACAACCCTCGATGGAAACGCGGCTTATTGTCACGCTGCGCGATAGGGGGTGGATGCTGCTCGATGCCGGTGTCGTTGCATGGTTTATTGCGACGTTTCGAGGAACGGGTGTGTTTCGGGGCTTTGGAAAATTGTTACGGAGTGGCAATGGGATGGACAGCGATGTGACATTACTGGTGCATCTGCATGTAGCGATTATTTAATCGTTACTCGTGCCGTGATACCATGAAAATGATATTTAGCGACGAGGATGTCGAAATTAAAAATCTAACTTGAGATATATGTAAATGTTACATACGGAAATTAAGTATACCTCGTGTGAGTCGAATAGGTTTTATAATACCATGGAATATATAATTTATAATAATATATACAGGGTAGACCATGTAACGCGACCACCGTTGATTATTTTTAATTATTTATTTTTGGAGAAACGATACAGAAATTATTTTATAGCAAATGTTAGGGTACATGGATTATTTAGTCGTTATTACTGCTGTGATACCCTGAAAATGATATTTAACCATGAGGATGTCGAAATTAAAAATCTGATTTAAAAAATATGTAAATGTTACATTCTGAAGTTAGGTGTACCTCGTGCGAGTTAAATAGGTCTTATAATATCATGGAATATATAATTTATAATAATATATACAGGGTGGACCATGTAACGCGACCACCGTTGATTATTTTTAATTATTTATTTTTGGAGAAACGATATAGAAATTATTTTATAGCAAATGTTAGGATACATGTATTATTTAGTCATTATTATTGCTGTGATATCCTAAAAATATTTAGCGACGAGAATGTCGAAATTAAAAATCTAACTTGAAAAATATGTAAGTGTTACATACGGAAGTTAGGTGAGTGGAATGGGTTTTATAATGCTATACAATATATAATTTATAATAATATATACAGGTCAACTACCGTGATTATTTTCAATTATTTATTTTTAGACAAACTACAAAATTATTTTATAGCAAATATTAGGATACATGAATTAATTAGTCGTTATTATTGCTGTGATAGCCTGAAAATGATATTTAACCAGGAGGATGTCGAAATTAAAAATCTAACTTGAGAAATATGTAAATTTTATGTGCGAAAGTTAGGTATACCTCGTCTGAGTCGAATGGGTCTTATAATACCATGGAATATATAATTTATAATAATATATACAGGGTGGACCATGTAACAGGTCCACTGTGATTATTTTCAATTATTTACTTTTGGAGAAACGATACAAAATTATTTTGTAGCAAATGTTAGGATGCATGACAGTCTAGGGTTGAGAGTTATACAGGGGTGTAATGATTGTCAATAAATTTCCAATTGTGAACAGAGTTTTGATCACTTTACTTTTAATCTGTACACGTGTTACACTTTTCAATATTGGACACAGAGTGAGTCCAATAAATTTCTTGACACGCATAACTCTTAATCCTAGGAAAAATATCACGATTATGCTAATGAGCAATGATACCCTGATCCTTGATAAATTTACTGTATTAATAAATACATAAAAAATAAACTAAGTTAAACTAAACTAAAATAAGTTGTGCTAGAAGGAGGCACGAAGTTGGAAGGAAGTCGAATTTTGAAGAGGAATTTTGATATACTGGGTGATTGAAAAATTGGTACCTAATAGTTGTTAGCCAGAGTATTTCCTTGGATTACTATAAATTCGTGGTAATTTAACATAAGAATGCAAACATAGAAATAAGAAAGCAAATATAGTTTTACATTCGGGATAAAATAGAAATAAAAATTGCATTCGGAAGAATTGTATTCGGAAAACTCGATTCCCGTTCAGCATTGTGTTTACTGCTGTGGTACGCGATTCTCAAAATCGAATCGCGTTTGCTTCGACAAAAGTTTCCCTTTGCTCGTGACTATTTCTTCTTCAAACACACTCCGGATGATCGAGACGCCTTAATCTTCGACTGCTTCTCCATTTCTGATCGATCTCCGAGTTCCACGAATCGCATACCCCCTGCAGTCGTCGAACTTTGAATATTTTCCACAGAAAATTCATCTTTTATGTAAACTAGAAAAGTATAATTCAATTAATATCGTGAATTTTTACCCTCGAAATTAAAGCAGCGAATAATAGACGTTGTCAACAAATTTTTAAAAGAGATTTGCTTCATTTTCAATTCGCTCTTCGAATTTTTGTATTACAGAAATTACCTACTCTAATTATTTGCTTCGATATAACAGTCTGTTTTGCATACGTTACCACGGAAGATCCCGTTAATGCGGAATTATTTTTGGTGCACGCGTATTTGTAATTAGTATAATCGCGAGTGATTGCAAAATGGCGAAGGAGAATAATTAGGTTTATTAATTACATTTATTCCTGGCAAATTGTAAATGATTATTTCCAATCGCGTACATCCCTGATCAATTTCAAAGCGGACAAATATTAATCTGGATTATTAATTGCAGCCACCGTGCTGACAATAACAAGACATCCTACAGAGATATTTCCAATTACAAAAGAGCACCCTTATTCGTGAAATAAAAGCCGTGCCCAAAAATCAAACAGGACGCGTTATTAAAAGAATAAACCCCAACGATAAAGGGAAACGAGGGGTCAGGAAAAAGGAGCATAAAATTCCCTGGAATCTCTAATTTAAATACTTCGTAATAAAATAAATAAACAGTTCCATTGTCCAACTCTTGAACCAACTACCCAACCAACCGCGACCCTTGCTATATCTATGCCGGTGAAGACGTCCGAATAACAGACCTCCACTGCGGACTTCTGCGGTAAAGAACGAGCGCCGTGCACCCGGCCAGTGGTTTTAATCTCGTTTTCCGTTCGTTTTTCCAGCAAAGGAGCTGAAAGTATGCGGCAGCGTGAGAAGCGGCGGCGAGGTGTGCTGCTCCGCGGACATGGAGGTGAGACTGCAGGCGAGGGCACGTGACAAACATGAGAAAGCCACCAAAGAAACTCTTCAGCGGCTGCACCAGGTCCTGTCTACGAGAGGGACCAGGTTCCACTGTGAGTACCTACCTTCGTTTCACGATTTTAATCACTTCACCGCCGACTCTCCCGCCTCCTCTCTGCGCTCAGGGTGTCTGTACGTGCAGGCTGCACTCGAGGACGTTCACACTGACAAAACGGACGGTGGCTGCCTCTGAGAGGCAGTCGGTGGCGGCTTCGTTTGATCAGGCTACCTTTAAACTCGTACGTTGCACGTTCGCGCGAGCCAGACGACGTTTTTTCTCCTGTAAGATCGGGAAATTCCAGCTTCGAGGTTTCTTCGGCTTCTTTCGCCGCTTCTTTGGGCTCCTTTCAGGGCGGTAGACGGGCGCGAGCAGAGTGATATACTTGGTTAAATTCGGGGACTCGAGGTAATTTCTTCTTCTATATCGGAGGTTGTTAAGTTTCTCCTTCAGGGAGTTTGGAGAAGAAGTAATTAGGTAGAACACGGCAGTGATTCTTGGGGTTCTTTTTCATATGGAGAGAGTAACCTAGGCTAAGCAGGGATCGATGAACTCGGGATGATCGAGGTCGGTAAAATGACGTTGGCTGGAAGAGAGAAAAAGAAATTCTACGCGTCGACTGATGGTGGAGAAAATCGAACGTCCCTCGTCAATTATACCAGTTCTTAGTCACAAAAGGACTTTTCAGAACGGTTTAATCGGCCGCACGTCCTCGGCGCAGGACGAATGGCGTGGATGAGGACGTGAATGAGGCTCCGAGGCGCAATATGCGGCTCGAAATGAGATTTCTGGGCTAATGGCTGCCAACTGGACGTTGACGTGATCCTTGCACAACTTTCTTTCTCTTTTTCACCTCCGAGCAAGACTGCGTAGAAGGAACACACGCGCGAGAAAGCAGTCCTTGAACGTTTAATATAATCTTAATAAAATTTCAATAAGTGTCAAGACAGAATCAAATTCTGGCTATGAACTAAGTAGGCCGCGAAGGATAGAGATATTTGGCAAACAGTGGATAAGAAATGCACAAAGAGCTTCTCATAAATTAATTCGGCAAAAGATGGTGGCTGAGAAAAATTGGAAGTGATAGGTGATCAATTTCTGGGCTAATGGCTGTCAACTGGTCGTTGACGTGATCCTTGCACAATTTTCTTTCTCTTTTTCACCTCTGAGCAAGACTACGTAGAAAGAACACACGTGCGAGAAAGCAGCCCTTGAACGTTTAATATAATCTTAATAAAATTTCAATAAAATTCGTCGAATAGGTGTCAAGACAGAACCAAATTCTGACTATGAACTAATTAGACCGCGAAGGATAGAGATATTTGGCAAACAATGGATAAGAAATGCGCAAGGAGCTTGTCAGAAATTAATTTAGCAAATATGGCGTCTGAGAAAAATCGGAAGTGATAGACGATCAAAGTTTGAAGCGATTACTATGTTCGACAGAGCGCAGGGAAGATTACGCGTGCTCGGGGTGGAATCAGAAAATGTAGCGACTCGTTCAGGCTGGCGGAACGGTAATTTTGTTAATCTTTTAATCCCTGCCCCCGTTTTCCAGCCACGTAAATCCTCGTTTGATGTCGCGGCAGCCGTTCCTCGAACTCGTTACCTTGCAACTTTTCTGCACGCGCTCTCTCCCCGATTTATGACGGGGTTGCTTCGAAAATTGCAGATCTCCAGCGTCGATGCTCAAAATTTATAAATTACGTTACTCTCTGACCTCTAGGATTTTTCGATCCTTTCGAAAAAATTGCTCCGAGATTTTTCCCGTGTCCCAAAACAAAAGAAGCTAGACCCCCACCCTAAAATATATAAAATCCTGAGACCCGAGATCCCAGATTCAACGACTCCCTAGACCACCGTCTTCGCAACCTTGATACCCCGAACGCAATACCGAGAAAAGCGGAAGAATTTCTTCAAGGAAACTTCCGGATCAACCCATCCACTGTCCACCTACTCATCGAACGTTGCCCCAACCCCGTACACGCCCACTCGTTTCACCCTGTTCGAAGACCAAGCGAGACAAAGGTACAAGAAGTACCCAACATGGCGCAAAGTGTTGCCGTTTCCCCTGCGAATCGGAAGCAGTGCATCGAGTCTACTCGGGCGATGGTGGCGGAAATTAGACGGCGCCACGTGGAAAACCTCAGAGGCGCCTAACGATTCTCATTAACGAAATTACGTGGCGGCGCGCGAGCTCGCGTCACCATGGCCCCGACCACCTCTTGCTCTTCGAGCTTCAATCTTTCCCATGCCCTTTCCATCCGACCACGGCTTCTCTGACGGTCGTCGTGCTTCCCTTTGAGGCGCCACTACACCTAGCCGCATCTAGCTACGTACCCACTTTACCTGCCACTCGCCGCGGTAGAAGTGCGCTGACAGAGAGACCAACGGAGGGAGAGGAGTGCGACAGGGAGAAAGAGTGCAGGGACTGCGGCGCAAGGGAGGGAACTAGTGTGAAACCAGGGGTTGGATATGATAGCAGGAAGACTTGGAAATTTTGTATAGACAGATCGATTTTTCTTCTCCGGTCTTGGAGAGTCCCTCCTCCGAGACTGCTGGAGAAAGCTGCAAATCGTTGCTGAAGTAGAGCTTGAGCTGGTAAATACGAATTCTGTTCTTCTCACATTCCTTTCAATACCTATTTCACGTTCTATCTCAACTAGCTCGGAATACTATTCTTAGTTTAATTGCAGTTTTATTCAACCTTCATCTCGCGATGCTCGTAAAGTGATTGTTAAAATTCCAAGGAAAGAGACCTGTCTCACCCAAAGACAGTGTTTAAAGATCACTGCTTTAATCGATAATGTTGTAATCAACAGTGTCCCAACCTAGGGTGGGACTAAACTAGCCTACTCTAGGAATAGAGCTAGCTCAGCGAGTTCAGCTCGATATTAGACCTGGAAGGATTAATATTCCAAGAAGTTGACAGATTTGGATTTGAATTAACTTGTTTGCTCGTTGGACGATTCCTTTTCCACCCTCGTTGGAGGAACTGAACGATTTCGAAGCCTGACCCCTTGGTTTGGTGACTTTTTAATCGAAAATCGAAATACTCCCATAAATGTAGGCGAAATGGGGACTTTGCTACAGGAACAGAGGGAATTAGTCGCGAATTAAAAGGTTGAGGAAGTTCCTAGCCAATCGTCGCGGTGCTAGGTGCTTCCTGCTCCCTTATTAGACCTCGAAGTATTAATATTCCAAGAAATTCACAGATTTGGATTTGAATTGGCTTGTTTACTCGTTGGACGATTCCCTTTCCACCCTCGTTGGAGGAACTGAACGATTTCGAAGCCTGACCCCTTGGTTTGGTGACTTTTAAATCGAAAATCGAAATACTCGCATAAGTGGAGGCGACACGGGGACTTTGGTACAGGAACAGGGGGAATTAGTCGCGAACATGGGAGCGTGTCGCGAATTAAAAGCCCGACGAAGTTCCTAGCCAGTCGTCGCGGCGCTAAGTGCTTCCTTCCCCTTTCACGCGGCGCGGAGCCCGAAGCTTTTTGCCGAGGCGTCGTCGTCGTCGTCGACGTCGCCGACGATTCGTTACACAGGGGCTAACCTACCTGTTCACTCTCTCCCTTCTCTCTCTCCCTCTCTCTTCCACCGGATCCCGGCATCGTTAAAAGGAATTTTAATCACATTCTTCGCGACTGAAGTGACGATAAGAACGGGTTCAGACCTGTGACGGGGTTCGTGAGGTTACGCGCGTGGAGGGTGGCACGGTCTCTCTTTGTCGGGCTGGCCGGTGTTCCGGGAACGGCCGACGCCATTGTTGCTCGCCAGCTCTGCCACTTTCTCCTCCTTTCCCGAAAGCTTTCGCTTTCTTCGTGCAATTTTTCGTTAGAATAGCCGATCTCTTCCGTCGATAATGGCTACTCGATGGTTTAACTCGAGAGACTTGGGTAAGAGTCGAAGACGAATCGAAGGATAAAACTTATGGCTTTCCCGAGTGTGATACCGTCTCGACGATTAATCGTTTTGTCCTTAACTCTTATCTCGAGTACTGTGGTTCTTATGGCGTTTCAATTATAGTCGAAAAGAAAGCGACCAATTCATGGGCCTTAGCTTTCCTCTATATTCTGCCAAAACTTTGCTATTACCAAGTAATAGGCCAGGTACGTCCCAATATAATAATAAGGGTTAAATTCCTCCATGTAATTATTTTAGTTCATCTAATTTAAGATATATGTTGGAGTCCTAGGACAGCAGGTCCCAAGTTAAGTAGAGGACTGCGTATATCCTTATTGCCAGTGTCCCTTGATTCGTACAGACTTATTATCACCTAGTCACCACTTGGGTAAACCTTAACAAGGACCAATAAATCACCCATGAGACGATAGGCATAAGGACCCAAATTATTTAAACATCCACCACCACAGAAAGACGTCAAAGCTATCACACATCCCCAATATTATTCACAACCAATAGGAAGACACACACCAACCAATCAGTAAACGTACGAAACTTATAAAACCACCGAGACAACAGTCACGAGAGAGTTCTCCTAAAAATCCCAAGAAGACAAGTCAGCATCACGACCAGACCATCTGATAGACCCACAATAATCAACTCAGCGCGAGAGACAGTCACACATCAGAACTCTTTAGTTCACCCCTAACCAGGCTAGCTCTATTAACACTAAACCTACTACGACTTAAATGACTATTTCGAAACATTCGTTTTAAAACTCCGCATTCGGTGCTATCGTTCTGGTCCTCTGACAGCGTGATTTGGTTTTTAGTATACGTGTAATCAATTTTTCAATAGTTCCTCTTATTCCATTCTTTGAAGATTTTTCTTCCTCCCTTTTGTCCATCTACCGGTCAATTTGACTGGCCGTGATAGATTTAATGTTAATTTAAAGTAGGATGCATCCCAGCAACATTGTCACATCCGTGTAAACGGGCCTTACAACCCCGTGAAACTGCCACCGTGCGAGTTGCAGTGTTCGAGACGCAACAATCCCTTTCTTGCCGAGACACCGAGAGAGGGGTAACTCTACCACGAATTTGGTATTCGTTTTGAAATTCTTCCTAAAACTTTCCTCGTATAGAGTGCAAGAGATAAACGAGTGGCAGGAATCGTTGTCAAAGTTCAGACCGGTGACACTAAGCAAACTCGGTTAACGCGTTAGCCTAGCTAAGAGGAAGCAGTTAATTAACGCTTGCAAATCAGACAGCAAGTTACACGTTAACGTTGAACAAGAGGCAAACATTGTTAACGCGTGATCAGTCTGGCAAGTAGAAATCGAGGCTGCGATTGATTTGCAAATCTCGAGTTCCCGAGCCATCCTCGTCTCCAGCCATCGACTCGACTCGTTGCTGCTGCAATTACGAATTATTCGTGGTACGACAACGAGATCGTGGAATACGGAGAAGCCGCGCAATTAAGGAAATTACGCTGGCTCCTTTCGCCAGATCAATTAATCAGCATTCGCATAAATAATTTATACGTCGATCGGGAGAGCGACTGCTTTGTCGAAGCTTCTTTCAGTCCCGTCTTTTATATTCGCGAATTATTCCAGACTCGAGCAGCTTTGATTATTACGCAGGAAAATTGTTTGAAAATTTGCTTCTTCTCTCTTTTCGCAGCGTTCTTCAAGGACCTTCTTGCTACCAGCAAGAAAGTCTTCCACGACATGTACAAGAGGACTTATGGAACCCTGTATGAGCAGAACTCGTACGTCTTCACGGACCTGTTCAAGGAACTGGAGAACTACTATTCCAAGGGAACGGTGAGTCCCATTTATTTCTCCTGTAGCCACCATCATTCTCATCTTCGCCGCTAGATGGATCCCGACTTCGAGGAGGTTCGAGGACTTTCTCGCAAGTCTTTGGAAAACCTCCGCTTCCTATGCATGTAGGATTGCAATGAGTATGAGCTTGAGAGTGTTTGAACTTAGAACAAAGGTGACCACGCGCAAGAGGATCGAATAGCTTCACGCTGGTGTCACGGGACTAGTTCGCAACGACGAAAAATAAGAATGACTATGCCTCTATACGAGATACTATCCGTAAAATAGGTATACCGCAAGAGACGTGACACGTATTTAGAATTTGAGAAGAACTGACTTTATTTAGGTTTTGGGGTATATATATATTCTTGCTATCTTATGCTAGGTGCTTTCGAAGAGGTTGTATCGTGGAGTTTGGAGGTTTGGTCATGGGGTGGTAATTCGTATTAGCTGTCGTCACAGGGTTGCTTCTTGGAATTTGGAACTGTAGTCATCTGCTGATTCATGTTGGGGTTTGGAGTCTTCCTTACTTATCTTTCCTTACTATATATATATATATAAATAGATGCAAGATAAATAGACTCATCTTTAAAGCATATTAGCCCTTTGGACTCGTTGTAGATTTCTTCGTTGTGAAGATGCAATTCGAAGCTCTTCTTAGATTTTTATTAGCTCACTGATACTACTTATGCTAAAATTAAAAAAAGGAAATCGTGAACTTGCGTGAAAAACGAACGAATAGAATAATTTTATTTCGATGTTCTTAATATAATTATCATCATCCTTTATTTAAGTTATAACATTAAAACAAACGGTGACTGAGAGTCACCTCTCGAGTGCAAAGTGTTTACTTCAGATTCCCATTCCTTATCCGACTCACTGCTTTGTATTTCCAATCCTAGGTCTTCAATTGCGTCTTCTATTATTCGAGTGTAAGAATTTTGCGGATATCTTGCACCTATGTTAACGTTACCGAATTTGGAGGTAGTAGTTTTGGTAGTGTCATAGAAGAGTGGGTGTTACTAGTGGAATACCTCTCTTACCCCGCAACCGAACGAGATGACTTCTTTTCAGCCATGCATAGTATGTTAACCCTTCGCGCTCGAGAGGCACCCTTCAGTCGCCATTTGATAAAATTTCGAAGCTCGATATTCATAAATACGTCAAATTTCAGATAACGTAAAAGTGTGCTAGGTATCGAAATCAAATAATTCTACGTGTTAATTAGTGTACGATTTTGTATTCACTGCTCAGAAAAATATCGTCAGCTCTGTAACAGAAAATCTTTGAACTCCTACTCTTCTTTAACCAAAAAGTCGTCGAGTACAAAGTGTTAAATCGACCTGCTAGGGAGCTTTACTGATTCCACTAGCAGGCCCGAGACGAAACGCATCCCTTCCTTTTCCTCTCATTCCTTCTAGCACCATTGTCACGCGAGGATACCCGTGACCAGCAGACTTCGACGTGGACAGCTGTGAGGGAGGACCCCCTACACTCGTCATCTCCATCCTCGACAGCCTCGTCAAAATTTAAGAGTAATTAAAATTTCTCAAGGTTTCCAAGGAAAATTTAATTATTAACCCGATCTTATAGATTCTGTCTTTTCTCTCGCGTTCCTTCGCTTTCTTTCTCGGACAGCCAGACTTCTAGACCCCCTCCGTGATTCACCATGGTGGAGAGTCGAACTTCTTCTCCACCATTGCGAACTGGCGTCGAAGCTATCGGCGGGGGACGACGATCCAATTTCGCTCGTGATGCGACAAATCAAATTCCAGGATAAAATCGATAGGGATCGCGGTCTCGATTTTCAAAGGCGGAAGAATTTGTCCATATCGTGGCCCCGGGCGTTCCGCCCCTTTTGTCAAACCCCGACCCCCCGGCCGTCGCGGGAAAGGTTCGCGGAGGGTGAAACTTTGGGAACCGGCGTGGAACCTCGACCCTCGTCCAGCGGACATTTAACCGCGAGCAACGAGACTTCGTGACAGGGTGGTAGAAAGCTTCTCGTGCGAAGGCGAGTTTAATCAATGCTTTTGACGTTCAGGCATCGCGAGCGTTTCCCGATAAAGGGCCAGAAAATATCCCGGCTCCTACATTTCTCTTTCTCCTACGCCCCTAGCTTCGTACCCTTCGTCCAAGGTCAATGGGGTTCTGGTCGACTGCAATTACCGGACGGTTTCGTTTTATCCGTCGACGGTTGTCTCTTGTATTGGAATTAATGTCCAGAGGGGGGCTGTCTCTGAGGAAACAGAGACTTGGTTCTCGTGGAACAGGATCAAGGGATGATCTTACAAGCTCTTCGCGTATGGACTCCTTTCGTAGATCCTTTCCATTATTCGTTTATTATTGCAGGATATTTTGGGGGGTTAAGGCTGAAACTGAATGGGTGGTCTTATAAAGACACTGTAAGATCCTCGAGCCACCGATTTGGTTGAAATTTTATAGGATGATAGACTTGGAAAGACAGTGCACATGCTTCGAGTCATTGATTCAGTTGACAGTTTACAGGTTTGTAGATTTAGTCATGCAGTTTGAAATTAACGTCCAGAGGGGGGCTGTCTCTGAGGAAACAGAGACTTGGTTCTCGTGGAACAGGATCATGGGATGATCTTATTGGATATTACATTTGTATATGTATGTGAGCTAGTGTGTTTTGTTTATGTATGTGCTGATGCCGTGGTGTGGCATAAGACAAAAGATGGCTACTGTAAGTCGTCAATCATCTGTTGCTCGCCGTTGGGATATAAGGTTGCGCACGTGATGCTGGAGATGGGAATGTAAAATATCAAATTATATTAAGTATTAAATAAACAGTAGTATAAATAACAGAAAGTGTAGTGAATATTTATTAATTTGAAACATTAGAGTTTATTCTTTCAGATCTTACAAGCTCTTCGCATATGGTCCCCTTTCGCAGATCCTTTTCATTATTCGTTTATTATTGCAGGATATTTTTGGGGGTTAAGGGTAAAACTGAATGGGTGGTCTTATAAAGACACTGTAAGATCTTCGAGCCACCGATTTGGTTGAAATTTTATAGAATGATAGACTTAGAAGGACAGTGCACATGCTTCGAGTCATTGATTCAGTTGACAGTTTGCAGATTTGTAGATTTATTCATGCAGTTCAAGTACCATTATCACTATAATGGCAACTACTCGATAGTTTTTGAATATATTAATAGTATCTACCAATGGCGCGGACGAGTCTATGATCAGAGTCAGTGTGAGAGTGTTTAAAATTGTAGGAATGTTGGGTAGGCAACAGAACAAGCAGTGGCGTAAATATAAAAATGATTTACTTTAAACTAAAACTTATCGCTAATAACTCTCGGCTCACTCTCACTCGCTATCTCTCAAAGCTCTATGACTGACTTTAAAACACTCTGACACACTCTGATACTCTGACTCTGAAACACACTCTCATTCTTCCGCGCCCTTGTACTCTTACTTCAACCCTTGCACTCTGTCTTCCTTCTCAATCGGTCGGTCACGTATCCTAAATACTCAGACGCATTCCTAGGCTTTCACTCTTCGCTTGCATTCGGCTCTGTCATAAACATCCCTTACATTCGATCCTCTTGCACGCGGTCACTTTCGTTTTAAGTCTAAACACTCTTGGCATTCTTTCAGGGCCGTACCTATTCCTTTGCTAAAAAATTAAAGTAGTAAAACTAGACTAGCCTTAACCTTTTGCACTCGTATGTCAGACTGGAGGTGACAATGCTAATTTCCTCTAAAACTATGTCACGCTGGAAGTGATAATACTAATTTACTCTAAAACTCGCGTATCAATTTATAATAATAAAAATAAATACGTTTGTGGGGTTCACCCCTGCGGTCAGTTTAATATCAACTTGTCGCAGGTATCCTCGTTGGTCGGGTAGCTAGAAGGGACGGTAGGAAAAGAAAGGGATGCGCTTCGTTTCGGGTCTGCTAGCGGACTCATCGATAAGGCTACCCTAGCAGGCCCTGCCTTAGACACTGGAATACTATTGAAAGTTCGGGAAGTTATATATATAGGAACTGGAGGTTTTCCGAGGACTCGCGAGTAAGTCCTGGAAGACGGAATCATCGAATGGCGAGGGTGAGAATGATGGTCGCTACAAAGTGAACACCCAACAACTTTGAAAATAAATCGAGTGCAAAGGGTTAAACTCTACCAAGCAATAGTTGTATTTCAAACATACTTTATCGTTATTAAATTCAAAACCGTGTTACGTATCCTCATCCTTTACATTATCAACATACTATTTTCCAAGCTTTCCCTTATTTCGTCAGGTTCAAGTTCAATCCAACAACTTTGAAAATAAATCGAGTGCAAAGGGTTAAACTCTACCAAGCAATAGTTGTATTTCAAACATACTTTATCGTTATTAAATTCAAAACCGTATCCTCATCCTTTACATTATCAACGTACTATTTTCCAAGCTTTCCCTTATTTCGTCAGGTTCAAGTTCAGAATTCCCTAAAATTCGTCAGGTTGTCATACATGGATTTACTAGTTGAAAGATATCTCCTGTCTCGTTATTCCCTAGATCTTACAAAAATCGTATCTTCCGAAAGCTTCGATCCAGCTCAACTTAAGCGTCCTACCACGAAATTCCTCAACCCCTTTTCAACCCCATCGCGGAGAACCCGAGATCTCCGCCTCAGCATTCCGCACGGGTCCTCGAAACGCCAGCATCCTTTCCACGGACACGTTTCCGTGGAACCTGTCGCGTCCAGGTAATCTAGTGGGCATCTTCGTTCGGCATACGTGGCACGCGTGCGAGATCGGCTCGTCACGTCGTATCGATCACGCTAACGGAAGGAAGGAGGACGGAACAGGTGGAAAAGGAAGGTCGCGAAAAGAGACGGAATCGAGGGGCGATACTGAGACGACGTTTTCGAGGGGCGATTGTCATTCAAATCGGCTGGAATTATTCAGCGGCGCCACTTGGACCCGCTCCGGCTCTCGTGCACGCTCGAAAATGGCCCCGCATGAATATATTATTGTTGCAATCGCACGCGTCGCTGCCGGGTAACGAATTTATACGCCTGTGATATATCGCGTCGCGAAACCGGAGGATTCGAATTTATCGAGAACCGTTGCTGTCTTTTTGTCTTCCCCGTGTACCCTGTATATCCTATCCCCTTTCTCCTGTTCCCTTCTTTTCCACCCCTTCCGCTGTTTCCTCCCCCTCTTGCCCGACCCCCCTCGTTCGATAATACGTTCCGTCGAACGGCAGGATTATTCCTTCGATCGAGACGGTGCTGGAATATATCGGGGATGGATAGAAATTAAAAAGGAGCATCCGTGTATGGCTGATCGACGAGCAGGATAGACTCGTGGGGGTAGTTCTTTGTTTCGCGGCCTCGTTCGATTAGCCGGCCTCTCTGGAACACGCTATTTTTACACCGATTTCTGCTTATTTGCTCGCAGAAATTGTATCACGTATGATGGTATGTTATTCGAGCTGAGAAGATTAACCCTCTATGGGCCGAATATATATTTCTCTTCATTATAAGAATTATATGTAACATAAAATCAACAAATATTTGACCCACGGGAGGTATTGTAAAAATAATTAGAAATATATCGAAAGGAAAATCGCGAACTGGAGTGATCAAGACGATAACGTTAAATGCAGTATTTAATAAAATACCCATACATCAGCATGTTACTTGAAAGTTACACGGGCCCATAGAGGGTTAACCCTTTTAGTGCCGGACGACGATATATCGTTGCGTATGTAATATATGCGATGGCGTCTTATTCTTCGCATTGCGAGGAAACTGTCTCAAAATAAATTTACAAAACGTTAATATAAACGTTAATTTTGGATTTTGCCGTTCATGTCATTCCAGGTCGACCTCGACGACGCGATGGACAATTTCTTCAACACCCTCTATCAGAAGATGTTCACGGTGTTGAACAGTCAGTACAATTTTGACAATAAATACCTGGAGTGCGTGGGAGAGCACATGAAGGATATCAGACCGTTCGACGACGTTCCTCAGAAGTTAGGGGTGCAGATCAAGAGGTCCTTCGTTGCAACGAGAACGTTCAGTCAGGCTTTGACCGTGGCTGCGGATGTCTTGAAGAGCATGCAATCGGTAAGATACCTATTCAAGGTGCAACAGTACCTCTTCCCTTGACTTGTCTGAATGTGAAAAAGAGCTATCGACGTTGACACGCCTAACCCGGATCATGCTCGTATTTCCTATGAATAAATCGTTAGCTTAGAAGCAATAATAGCGTATCAAAGCCACTCGAAGTGCCTCTCGGCACATCGAAACTCATAAACACCGCGCCCAATCATCGCTCGAAGCTTTTGAAACGCGTTGTAAGCTCACTCGTGCGTAACAAGGAGCTTCGAAAGTGTCCACTAATCCGTCAACAAAAGCCAAACTATAAACTACGGTTAAGGCAGGAACAGCTGGAAAATCGTTCGGTTTTTCACAGTTGAAGCCATCGGCGGAGTGTGCAGCTGCACTCACAAGGATGACGGTCTGTCCATCGTGCAGCGGGATCACGGGCAACGTGCTAGCGTGCGGCGACATGTGTGTCAACGTGATGAAGGGTTGCCTCGCTCAGCATGCGGCTCTGGACGTTGAATGGAATCACTTCGTCGGTGAGTAATTTCCACGTGCATTGTTCCATTGGTAATTATAGGCCCGGGAATATGATCCGACCAGCGGCCTCGAATCACGCCACGGAATATTTCGTTTATTACCGATCGCGTGAGAAACGAGAACTAGCCGATGTTAGGCCGAGTACTCGCGAAATTCCTTACACCGTGCCAAGAATCCCTGGGAATTTTGCTAATCGTTACTCGGAACTTTTAATGCCAATGAATACGCAAAATTTGAGAGAAATGAAAATTAGCTGAAATATTAATTTAACCCTTTCGTTACTACGGGCGACTATAGTCGTTCTCCTATAAGATGTCATTGACATACTACTGGTGACTATAGTCGTTTTGCTTAAGATACTACGGGTATACAAAGGTATACTTCGTTATTTTTTAAATTTCATTAGATCCAACAGACTTTACTTATTTTTACATTCAGTATTTTTTAACAGATTTTATCCCACCAGTGATTTTAAAGTGATTGACAGCAGGTACCAATCTTTCTACAGCACCGTGCATATTCTGCCATCTTTTGTTTTGAGAAGTCTCCCGTATCGAAAGGGTCAATATGGAGTATCTTTAACGCGATTTCAGTGATTTTAAAATGATCGACAGCAAATACCGATCTTTCTGCAACACCGTGCACATTTTTGACATCTTCTGGCTGAAGAAATCGCTCGTAACGAAAGGGTTAATATGGAGTATCTTTAACGCGGTTTCTTTCGAGTATGAGGGCTATAACACTTCGTAGGAGTCTCACGTTTTCTCTTATTCCCTTCTGTCAAGCTTATCGTAAAGGAACCCTCCTGAGTCACCACTATACCTCCAATTGCAGAGGCTGTAAACAAGGTGGCTGAACGCCTGTTGGGTCCCTTCAACATCGAAATGTTAGTTCGGCCCATCAACCTGAAAATCTCCGAGGCAATCATGAACTTCCAAGAGAACAGCAACGACGTTTCTCAAAGGGTGTTTACTGGCTGTGGCCGACCTGTGTTAGGCAGACGCAGACGTCGGGACAATCGGGAGCTGGAACTCGAGTCGCTGAACTTCGATCAAGAAACGTCGACTGACGATCGTGCCGCGACTGGTGCTGCTTTGGATAAATTGGTGAAAGAGACACGACAGAGGGTTCGGGATTCCAAGCAATTCTGGGTTTACCTGCCCTATAAGCTTTGCAACGACGGTCTCGTGGTCCCGCCTAGCAATACCAAGGAATGCTGGAATGGCACACACGTAGACAAGTGAGTAGCTTGGAAATTTTCTTTGTAGCATCCTATCCACTTTGCGTTTAATAATCCTCGGAGAATATTTATTTCATTAATGTTTCGTTAATTATTAAATTAATTTGTTTAATCTTTGAATTAGAAAATATACGGTGAAAATGTCGGTAAAGTTCATCCGAGTCGTTATCTGTTTTAGATATATCTATCCAGTGTCATCTAACGGAGAGACTCAAACTTTGAATCCGGAAGTGCGCAGCTCCGGGTCCAGACCAACTATCGTCAAGGACCAGATCTTTGCATTGACCACCATCACGAACAGACTAAAATCCGCGTATAATGGTCAGGACGTCGATTGGATAGACACAGGTAAAGAATTTGACAAGTGAAACTCGATTATCATCGTAACGACAAATCGGTATTTCATAAAATGATTAAAATATCTCAAAACTAAGTTCCATTCAAATCCAATTATAGTTAAACGAGATGGAATACGGTGAAATTAGAGAAAAATTCTGTCAATCGTGACAGAAAAAGCATATTGAAACGTTGTAAAGAATAGGTTTGATCATAGGATTGATATCAGAGTAAATTTAATTCGTGTGAATTATAGAGGAGCTAGTCGAATTTGTGCAATCGATTGATTAAATGCAGGTAACTTTGATGAGTGAAATACCTTGAGTTTTGTTGAATTTCGTAGATTTATTCTGGATATTTTCAATCGTCTTTCATATTGACAGTTGTCAGGATTATTTTTAACGAAGAGATAATGGAACAGATTATAAATATACATGTTTCTATTAATTTCTCGAGGTTAATTATACTCCGGAAGCCATAATAAGAAAATCAATTTATCAAGCTGCTTATCTTATCTCTAAATTCCATTCGCAATAAGCACCGATGACAAAAATAGTTGTCTTGAAATTTCCATTTTAACATTTCGATCCATTTCCATATTCACCATTTGACATGATTAGAATTATAAATAGATTATGGAATTATAGAAAATTTAAGAGACATGTCTAACATGTCATCTGGACTTTCAAAATACCAACGATGTCTTTATCTACAATTTCATTGAAATTTAAATAATCTATTGGGAAAAGGTCTATAGTGAGATTCGATTTTTATCTATTCAGCCTTGAAAGGAAAGTAACCATTTCTTCGATACCATTCTTACCTTTAAATCTGCCAATTACCCTCGTTTATGTCTTAAATTATCCCAAGTAAAATCTTTGCTATACTATTTAATAAACCAGCATGAATTACCCGAACCTTCTAAACGATGGAAATCCCGATGAAAACCTACACAACACTTTCAAGAAGAACACAACTCCTCTATCACAGTCTTCTGACAATTCCATCGCACTTTCCAAAGTCACTAATTAACCAATCTTCAGTGCCACGCAAGAAGACCTAAAGAACACTTCCAAGAAGAACCCAAGAAGGTCCTCTCCTATCCACCGTCACCTCACCAAGACCTACCAAGGCCTACCAAGGCCTACCAAGGCTTAACAAGATCTACCAAGGCCTATCAAGTCCTACTAAGACCTACCAAGGCCTACCAAGGTATACTAAGACTTTCCAAGACCTTTCAAAACCTTTCAAGGCCTACCAAGGCCTACTAAGGCCTACTAAGACCTACCATGACTTACCAAGATCTACCAAGGCCTATCAAGTCCTACTAAGACCTACCAAGGCCTACCAAGATATACTAAGACCTGTCAAGGCCTACCAAGCCCTACTAAGACTTTCCAAGACCTTTCAAAACCTTTCAAGTCCTACCAAAGCCTACCAAGGCCTACTAAGACCTTCCAAGACCTTCCAAGGCCTACCAAGGTATACTAAGACCTTCCAAGGCCTACCAAGGTATACTAAGACCTACCAACGCCTACTAAGACCTACCAAGACCTACCAAGACCTTCCAAGACCTTCCAAGGCCTACAAAGACCTTCCAAGACCTACCAAGACCTACCAAGACCTACCAAGACCCTCAACATCTACCAATCAACTTATCACCACGGGGTGACACTCGAATTTTCAGAGAATACCGAGTGGAACGGTTCCGGAAGTGGGTCTGGGGATAGCACGGACCAGGATCAGATCACGGACGACGAGGACGGTTTCAAGGAAGGTTCCGGCTACGAGCCAAAGTCTTCGCCACCGGAAATACCGAACCAGTCGCCACCCGTGGTCCACCCGGAAGTGGTGCCTCCCAGAGTGGACGTGGAGCAGAAGACAAATATGAACAACAACAACGGCACGTCCAACGTGGACAGTGGCGCGAGCAGACAGAAGATCTCTCTGTCTCGTGCTTTGACAACGTACCTCGTGCCCATAGTGGTGATGTGGTTGGGTGGCTGCCTCACCGAGTGGCTGTGATCGTGTGGTTTCCGGGGAGAACGTGCAGGACGATGTAAATAAATATTCCTTTAACGAAACGCGCTCCTCCTCGACTGGAGCAGAGCTGCAAATGGCGACCAGTCGGGAAAGAGAGAGAAAGAGGACGATAATGAATCGCTTTTCGGCTACGCGTACTTCTTCATCCATTAGGAAACGCGTTCTTTTCTTTTTGATGGAAACACGGTGCGCCTTGTATTAATTGGAGCATCGTGGCCAGAAAATTGCCAGTGGGATCATAGGCTTGATCCTGCTGGCCTTGGAATTCGAGAGGAAGAGAAGACTGTACCCGTTGACAATGGATTAGCTGGGACTCGCGGGACTCTTCACGACTGACGAGCGTGCCTTCAGGACGAGTGGCATGGTCGGCTCTAGGAGGGTGTGTTAGGGTTAGAGATTTTTTCCGAGTTCCTACGTTTTCTTGCGCCACTGTCCGCGGCTACTATGATGGCTACTTGAGTTCGAAGATAGTTAGTAAATTTAAATCCACCTATCCCGGTACATTCGGTGCACCCTCATTCGGGATACCGAGTTTAGCGAGTAGTTCAGCGATTAATTTATCGGCCGTAGAATTTTGCGAATTTGAAAATACCGCTTACGGCACGTCACCGTGAGATGTGTACGCGTTTGTCAAATTTCCAGTGTAATTTTGAACTCGCGAATGGAAGTCTATTCCCATTGTGCTGCACCGAACGTAACCGGGAGTTGGACGTTCTCTTCTCAGAATCTATTCTAAAACTTTGGGACGCAGTGGCGTAGGAGGAGCAGGGGCTAAGTCGGGGACCTCGGTGGTCTTGAGCGTAGAGAGGAACACACGAAAGCGGGTAACAAGAAGCGCAAGGACTGACTATCCAGCGTCGTATTTCCTTTCCCAGTTGCCCTCCCCTGAAATGTTTGAAAGATTCATGGCTCGAAGGGGGAGGGAGTTTCGATCGCGTGGAACTCGAAAGGATCGATCAAAATGTTAGATTTCGATGACACACACGAGAACTTTGATGTTTGTGTTTAATAAAAAGAAAAAGAACGAAAAAAAAAAGGAGAGAAAAATGAAGAACGGTTAAACCATTTCGGTTTTCACGCGGAGATAATATTGATTATTTTTTAACTCGAGTACCGTCTCTTGTTGATCAGTGTTGTTTGAGCAGTAGTGAATAGAGAAGAAAGTTTGTGGCTTGTGGTGAATGAGAGGTTATGAAATTAGGACGGTGAGTGACGTATGATAAAAATTCCTTCAGTTCGATTAACCCGTTTCGCAATTTTCCAATGTCACGGAATTCCGTATAGGCTCGAGCAGGAATTTGCGCAGATCGATGAATGAAATTTATCCGATTAATTTATCTCGCGATGTTAGACCTCGCTTTGGCAATCTCTTGCGTTCATTTAGAATAACTTTATCATCCGCCATTCATGGAAAAATCGTCCTGGCAATCTGGAACTTGACGAAACGTGTCAAAGTGTAGAACGAGCGGTCGAGAATGGGCTCCTGTGATAAAATTAAACGAAAAAAAAGAGAAAAAATAAAAATGTAATAAAAAAGGGAGGAATAAAAGTAAAAAGATAAACGAATAATGGCCGCTACCACACTCTGGCGACGTCGAGCCTAAAACAAGAAGGCGAAAGGAGACATTTTATACAAATCTAGTGAAAATATTCAAATAAATATTATGAATAATTATTTGTAATTATATTATTATATATATATATATTATAATTATTATAATTATTGCAAAGTGAAATTAATATAAAAATTATACGTTGCGTTCAGGACAAGTGGTGAGTCTAGAGGGTTGCGCGGTTCGTTTCTTCTTTCCTTCTCTTTTGAGAATCTGCGCGACTTGGCGAGACAAAGATAGAGAGACCAGAACTTTCTGCACAGATACAGAATCGCGTAGAATTCTTGTTAGATAAAGAAGGAACGTTTAATAAGTTGCACACCATAACGAGTACCACGTATCGCGAATAGCGAAAGCTTTCGACTCGTCTCGCGAAGGAAATGCCCGATTTCTCGTGATCACGTTCTATAAATATTACAAAAATATTTATTACGTTTAAAGCGAGAAACGGGGACACGGTAGACCCATGAATAGAGAAAGGAGAAATCTGAAAGTGGTAATTTGCTAAAAAATAAAAGAAAACGTGGGAAGTAGAATTTTCCAATATTTCTAATTAATACGTGTCACAATTTTCGAAATTTTAACTTCGCGTGAGCGATTACGCGTTCTTTATGGTGTCCAGCTTGTTAAAGGAAAAGATGTGTGGATATGGAGACAGGGAACAGGGTTTTTTACCGCGGAAGCATTATGGACCACTTAAGCAACTTTCCTGAAACTATGGGAGTTCCTCTCGTTCGACAAATAGGAGCATCCTTGCGTTTTAATAACAGCCTTGTCGAATCAGCGTGACTTATTGCTAAATAATATCTTATACAAGCGTCGAGCATCCTTCGATCAATTGCATGATTCGTTTTTAACCTCTTCGATACTGAAACACTGTAGAGATACTCTCCATAGAACCAAGTCTTCTAGAAGACATGTCCGTAAGAAATTTGCAGAATCAGAGGTCCTGGGTGGAACGACGAGATTTCGCATTACCGTCGAGAAATTGTAAAATGAAAAATAAATCCCGTATCGAGGGGGTTGAATCGAATAGCGTTCGAGTAAAGTGCATTTACGTTTTCTTACTATTATTCCTAGTACCGTATTTACGTTGTTCGCCATTGTAAAGAGTAACGAGCAGCCTAGATTTCCACGACGATCGTGCTCGTCGATCCTGAGCCCAGGATCGTTGCACGATCGCGTGATCGTTTCTTTTCTTTCTTTTCTTTAGACTAGCCCACTGTAACCAATTAATCAGACGTAATAATCTACCAATTTACCCTAAGGATCTATGCATAACGACTATAAAAATAGAAGCGCGGGTGCGAATGCGTTTAGCCAAGCCGTCTATGCCATTCAACGTGAGTTTCGAATTTCATCGCGAATTTCTCGAATAATGTTCAATCTGTATCGAAAAAGGAAATTCTCCGAACAATGGATCCAATTTCGCGTCCATCGAGCGTTACGCGTGTCCAATGAGGGACACCTTGCGACAGAAAACCGATTGCAGATTAAATCTGAACGCCATTTCTATGTATTCCATTTCGAACGATCACTGATCTATCGCCGATCACGATTTATCGAGAATCGCGTGAACAAATCGCAGAAGAAAATCGTGATTCTCTGCAAAAATTGTGCCGCTTCGATCACGGAAACCTTCTTCAAGAGGAATCTACGTAGAGAATAAGAAGAACGAGTGTCCCTTGCAGGATTAATTAGCATGGATTGTTGGTAAAAATGAAAGACGAGCAAGAATCTTGAAGAATGAAACTCGGACTTTTCGTGACTCTGCTTCAGACTCTGCGTTCATCAGCTTCTCTAATGAAGCACGAGTAATTACAAGTGTACCGATGTAAGCCAGTGAATTTCGAGGTTTCACGCGTTCAAACCGAACGAAGCTGGCGAAGCTGGCTTCTTCGCGAATTTTATTTCCGAACTGCTTGTAAAGAGGATGAATGAGACGGGAATTCGTTGCGAGAAAGAGAAGGATCTCAAAGTGCCCCTAGGATGGAAAGGAGATTTATATATAAGCGAAATTTAGTGGAATTCGTAATGACTGAATGAGAATGCTGCGCGTGCAATCGTAAATTCATTTTCCTATTTTCTTTCTGAAAGTTTGGAAACTTTGAAGGATGGAGCTCGTCTCTGACTCGATTCCCTTTGCACTCGACCCCTGTGCGAATATTTCGATATTCGATTCATCGATTCCTGATTATCGAGACGAATTTTTAACACGTTAAACGCCACGCCGGTTTTACATGCCGTTCCGTTCGCGCCATTGTTAGCCGCCATGCGGGCCCGTTCGGGCCGTAGGGCCCAGCGTGGCGTTTAACGCGTTGAGTGCCACGCCGGTGCCCAGGGACCGACGCTAGACTTTCCGTTCGGGCCCGGCCCAGACTAGGACCAAAAGGTAATAACTTTTGGTATTAAAATTCTCCGCCATCTTTGGACCTAACGTTTGGTTTTACGTGCCGTTTCGTTTGCGCCATTGTTAGCCGCCATGCGAGCCCGTTCGGGCCGTAGGGCCCAGCGTGGCGTTTAATGCGTTGAGTGCCACGCCGGTGCCCAGGGACCGACGCTAGACTTTCCGTTCGGGCCCGGCCCAGATTTAGACCAAAAGGTGCTAACTTTTGGTATTAAAATTCTCCGCCATCTTTGGTCCTATCGTTTGGAAATTCCTGTTATAACAATTGGTACAGTATCTCCGAGTTTTGTGAACACTTTGCCCGCCATCGGTGGCCCACTTGACGGCGCTAGACTTTCCGTTCGGGCCTGACCGGTCCTCAGGGACCGTCCCAGATTTAGACCAAAAGGTGCTAACTTTTGGTATTAAAATTCTCCGCTATCTTTGGTCCTATCGTTTGGAAATTCCTGTTATAACAATTGGTACAGTATCTCCGAGTTTTGTGAACACTTTGCCCGCCATCGGTGGCCCACTTGACGGCGCTAGACTTTCCGTTCGGGCCTGACCGGTCCTCAGGGACCGTCCCAGACTTAGACCAAAAGGTGCTAACTTTTGGTATTAAAATTCCCCGCTATTTTTAGACCTATCGTTTGGAAATTCCTATTATAACAATTGGTACATTATCTCCGAGTTTTATTAACATTTTACCTGCGCCGGAGGCCCACTTAACGGCCGAGTCTGGGCTTGAACGGAACGACTAGCAAAACAGGCTATGCGCTTAACGTGTTAACACTGAACGTACCAAGCGGGGTCAAATGATTCTTTTCAAAATTTACTTTATAACATGTACATTTCTTATTATTTCTTTCGCTCATCTGACTTTCTGTAAATTCGTATATTATCTGATTGTTTAATTTCTCGCTTTCCGTTTTTCTATTTCCATTCCGTTTCTATCATTTGACCCCTTGTGGTAAAAATAAGTACGTGTAAAGTATGCGTACCGGTACGTTCAGTGTTAAACCTCGAATAAAAGAGGAAAAATATGTAAAAATAGAGTTAACTCGAATTGTATATTTCTGGGTATCGTCACACGTGTGCAGGAAGGTGAAGTGATCAGATTTGGGATGTTTCGAGAGCGAAGGGTTGAAAAATTGAACAATCCATTTTTTCGATCGAATTAACGCATTCTATGGGCAAATACACGAGTGGCTATAGAATTCTCGAAGGATCAGCGATCGAATCACCGTCACGAGGTGCGGAAATGTTGAAGGATTAGAAAGACATTAAGAAAATGGATTTTCTAAAGAACCGTATATTCTTTACGAAAACAACGTACTGTCTGTTGCATATTGTGATAAGCGTCCAGGAACGATCCAGATCGTCGAATTTGTTCCCATAGACTTAAAACGATCTATCGTGGATCTTCGACCATGTGCAGGCTCACGAATCAAATCTCGTTCGATTAATTTTCTTTCTTTCCCCTTAACCTTTTGACTGCCACATTGAAATCACGTGTTTCTCTTAGGACACCACGGGAGTGCACCGCTAAATGCAAGATTCATTCTATTTCTTTGATTGATATTCTAATAAAAATTTTCATTATTTTTCATTATTTTTCATTATCGTTTCAACAATGACCACCGTGACGTGACAGGAAAAATGGCCAGTCATATATGACCAACGTGGCAGTCAAAGTGTTAATGTCTCGTAAAAATTTGCGAAAACGGTGAATTACTCGCCGCGATGATTATATTCGTATTAAAAAGATGGGGAAGAAGGTCAGACAGAGGAGCGACATGTTACAGGCTATTCTTAATAAAGAGAATAGGTGTTCCTCCACTTCCGTCGAACAAAGAGCGGCGACGTCGCGACGGGCTTTTGTTGGCAGGCTGCACGTGGTCGTAAATGGTAGCTAACATCTTCATTTTCAGTCCCTTGGGGTTAACGACCGGTACTTTATCATTTTTAAATCTTTAAACCTCATCGTGTCTCTCTTTTTCCTTTCTGTTTATGTAATATTTAATATTTATGTAATAACTAGATTAATATCATTTTTTCCCACCTATATATCTAAATATATTTCGTAAATCGAAATAGAAAATTATTTGGACCAACATCTCGCGTGGACATGTCTCGGAAGATGGAAAAATTTCTATATTGCATTCCATTTTGTGGTAAAATTGGAAAATTTGTTGGAATAATTTATTTCGCGAGTAAAGGTTCGTGGAAATAATATCGAGGTGATCAATTCGGATTTGTGAATATTTTATTAATTTCAAAATGGTAACAGTGGTACCGGTCCCCAAGGGGACGAGTTTCAAAGCAAAGAGAGGAACGGATGTGCCATAGTGCGAATGTGGCTGAAACAAGACTATTCCGGAAGCACGAGAACCGACTCACGAGTTATGTTTTCGCCACACCATTGCTCTTCACTTACACACACACACACACACACACACACACACACACATACACACACACGCACACATATACATCATGTTCACGCCATGCGGCGTTTTGTGTCAAGCGTACAGAGAAACCGAGCAGTCTCTCGCCGTTATATTCTTACAGTGTGCTAGCATCTAATTACGAAGAATTTTATTTAATGACACCGACCGTATGGAATAAAAGTGAAATATTTAAAAAAGAACCAGCCAACCTCTTCCGTTCCTCCATCTCCGCTCGAATTAATCACCTTTCGCAAAAGCTCCTTTATAAATAATCTTCTTAAAGCATATCTCTCTCCTCGTGGCAGCAATTTGTCGAATCGCGATCAAACGGATAACGAATAATGAATTTTTAACGAATATTGCACGTTGAAACGGTGAAGAAAAATAAAACAAATACTAATTTAAAATAATACAATAATTCGAGGATATTCCACGAGTCCTGCGACACGTCGATTCGCAGCGTACATCGAGAATCCAAAACCAATTCGCCCTTTGCTTCAACCCTAATTTCGAGAGCGTTCAAATAGCTCGTAGTCTCCCTAAAACATTAACCACGACGTCATACTGTAGGTATTTACAACACGATATTTACATCGACCGTATAAAATTAATTCCCATAAAATGGCAAAGTTCATCGACGTCGAAAAGCTGACGTCGATTCGGTACTCTCGAAAGCCCTGAGCCAGGCACAGCGATCATTAAAGCATCATCGAACAGCCAACGAACCACTCCGTCTTTTTCTCACAACTCTCGAAGATTTCGCGAGGTTCGCCACGCTGAGGGTTTGGTCACCCTTCTGCAGAGAGAGCCTCGTGGCTGCGGTCACGCTGCGAGTCACGATCTTCGGGGATGATAGCTCGCCGAAGATGCACCCAATCGATGGAAAACGTCGCTTAGCGTTGGGACGACGACGTCGACGACAATTCCTCAGCTGCTTCGCAGAATCGGACCATTTCCATGCGTAATAGAAGTCCACGATGTCCTTCTGCGGAATTACGATTACTTTAATATCCATGCGATTTATTATTATTATTTTATTCGTAAACGGACTATAGTTTATTTATATAAAATTTCACATAGCCCTTCACTGCGCAAATCGATTAACACCACCTTTTGAAAAAAGATTGCTATATATTACCCTTGCTCGACCCTTACTGGAATACGCTTCGATTATACGATCTCCGAGAAGCTTTAATCGCGAAATCGTGATCGAGAGAGTGCAGCATAAATTTCTCAGGTTTCGTGCATATAAGTTCAATGATTCAATATCAATTTTTGATCATGATCATTATTCTACGATATTAACCCTTTGCACTCGAGAGGCGTCGTTCAGTCGCCATTTAATCAGATTCTAAAGATGGATGTTAATTGATATATCAAATTTACAATTAGCCAACGATGCGTGGAATATCGAAGTAAAATAATTCTACGTCTTAATTTGCATATGATCTCTTATTTACCGTTTTAGAAATATCGTCGACCTTATGGCAGAAAGTCTTCGAATTACTATTTCCCTGTGACGAAAAAGTCACGTTAACACGTTGAATGCCATGGGGGTGACGCCACGGGGGCCACCGGTGACCGGCGCGCGCAAATTCATAGAAATATATATAATTTAAACAAATGTGAATATTTAGAAATTTTTATTATTACCAGCGTTAATTCAATGATGACCCCCGTCGAAATTAACATGTCAAATAATAGAAAATTGATCGTGTAAAACTGGCATGGCATTCAACGTGTTAAATACTGTCAACTTGGAAACATTGTCTGCACGAAGAAGAATAGCTGACCATAGTTTTATCTTTAATTTGATCAATGACCACATTGATTGCTCCTCTCTTCTTACGCAAATTGATTTCTATGTGCCAGAACGTGTATTGAGATCTAGAGCAGGTTTTCATATACATATATCCAGATCTACATATGCATTAATTAATCCAATTAACCCATTGCACTCGAGAGGTGAGCTTCAATCACCATTTCATAAAATTTGGAAGATCGATATTAATCAATATGTCAAATCTAATGTCACGTAACAGTGTGCAAGATATTGAAATCAAATAATTCTACAATTCTATTATTATACAATTCTTTATTTACTGCTGAAAAAAGTATCGTCAGCTTTTTAGTAGAGAATTGTTGGATAGCCAGTGGAAATATAATATAATAAGACGAATAATGTGGTAAGAAGACAGTACGTAATGTGTTCTTAACACTTGCACCTTTACAGAGTATTGTAATCATCCGAAAATCGTGTGAACGATGGCCCTTGTTTCCTCCACCATAATCATTCTTATTATATTAAATAAGGATAAATGGCGACGTTGCCATAAATTGCAGGTTCTCAACAAGAATCTTCGAATTTCTACTCTTCCCTAGCCAAAAAATCGTCGAGTGCAAAGGGTTAATCGTATTATTACTGACTCAAACGCTCTTTATAATCGCATAAATTCTTTTCATGGGTCTTTAAAAACTTTCAAAAGACAATTTATAAGCACGTCCCTTCGGTGTTACATTATGTATAACCTGTTTTCTTTTCTCTTATATGTTAAATGTTATGTTAATGGACTACGATCCGTTTATAAATAAAACAATAACAATAATAAATAAGTGTTATACATCGAAAACGATATTGATAAAGCCACTACTACGTGAGGTGTTAGGAATGAGAGAATACAATGAGAATTTGTTTAGAATTTTGGAATTCTTTTTTCGAGTGACATCTCTAAGACGAAACAGATGAAAATAAGTTTAGCAAGTTTTTGGAAGAAATAAAGAGAAGAGAACGTACCGTGTTCTTCTGTGGAAGAAGCTCCTTCTGGATGCGCGAGAAGTTCTTCCCGTACCTCGAAATCCCACTCACGAAATGCTCCTACGTGATGTCAAATATAAATTAAAATTAGAAAGAGCGATCATCGAGGATTACTGATGTATCGCCGAAATTTATCCAGCTTGTCTGTTATTTTTCGTTCGCTAATTCGAGACACTTACGACGTTCTCTGGCGTCCATCTTGTAACGAGCTTCCGCGGCAGCTCTTTCGTCAGCAGCGTCTTCAACGCGACTTCCGGCAGGTACTCCGAGTCGTGAAGAACATCCGTGATGTACTGCTCCGCGTAACCTGTACAGGAGTTCTCCATGGCGTCTCTGTTGGAAACACCCTGGCTCTCTTGGGCGAACGTGAGCACAGAACGAGCCATGAAGACGTACAGGGGAACCCATTTGTTCACTTCCTCTCTCGGGCTCCAGATTTTCTCCTCTGGGAAATCCCGGTACTCCTTGTCCAGATCGGACCGGTCACGACATTCTGGAATTTCGGCAACGCCATTGACGTATTTCTGAAAATTAGAAAATTAGAGAAAATTAGAGAAAATTAGAGAATATTCCAAATCGATAACTCCATCGTCCTTTGTCAGGAACGAGGAATAATTGACACGACGACGCAATTAAAAATGAAAATCCTAAGTGGAATATTTATGGAATTGTAATTTCCCAAAATATAAATTCCAGTTTATCTATTTATATTTTTCAAACGAGGAAACTCGCGGATTAGAGAATATTTCAAATCGATTCATGTCGATAACTCCATCATCCTTTGCCAGGAACCACGAATAATTGACACGACGACGCAATTAAAAATGAAAATCCTAAGTGGAATATTCATGGAATTGCAATTTCCCAAAATATAAATTCGAGTTTATCCATTTATATCTTTCAAACGAGGAAACTCGCGGATTAGAGAATATTTCAAATCGATTCATGTCGATGACTCCATCATCCTTTGCCAGGAACCACGAATAATTGACACGTCGACGCGATTAAATTTGAAAATCCTAAAATAAAATATAAATCCGATTTTATTTATAGTTTCCAAACGAGTTTATAATTTCCAAATTTATAATTTCAACCGAGGAAACTCGCGAAGTACACTGTAATCGAATCAGTTGTCCACGTTTACACCATAAAGCGCTCGTTCTTCACCAATACCATCAAAACTCGAGAAGAGATAAAGAGAGATGCTCGAACCAAGATACCCTCGCTTCGCAACAACCTTAATCTACGATCCACGAAATCTCGACTCAACGCGCAGATGTCGAGATGATATTAAAACAATACGAAAAGTGCACGAACCTGGTTGACGAGTTCAGTCTCGATCCCCATCACGCGGTGATTTATCCTCTGATCTGGCTGTTATCTATCAGGTACAGGTACTATTTGTCGTGGACAGCGTCGCCAGCAGGTCACAAGACACTTAATGATCAGGATAATCCCCGCGACCGCTTTATATTATCTGCGTAGAACACCCCTGGGAAGGAGGGCTGCTATGGGTCTCCCCTCCCGCCAGGATAAGGGACCTTTTGGCAGAAAGGTACGCGACAATCACCCTTCCTTGCCAAATTCTTTTCATCCTCCTCGTTCTCGCGTTCGACCAATCGAAACGAAAAATCGAACCCCCTTCCACCTTTGCAACCATCACTCTAAACACTTATTCCTCCTACGATCCAAGGTCTACTCGTTACCGAGAACTCCACTCTACTTACCCCACCGTTCCGAGGTCTAATTATTCGAGCAATTAAGCGTCCCAGGGCATCTCGAAGATTTTCCGAATATTTTAACGTCATTATCGATCTTATCTCGATTTGATATTAATAGCATGCGAGAATATCGTAACGCGAAATTGCAAAATGACGGACTGCCCAGAAGATGGAAATTCTTTTCGAAATACTTACGGTTTCTTCGGGAACGGACAAAGCATCGATAGCTCGAGAAATCGGGACGAACAGTCACGTAGAAGTTATCTCGATGGGACGATGATGGAAATCGCGATTGCGAATATCGGAATCGAACCACGGATTAAGATGTAATGTCTGTGTGGCAGCGACGAGCAACGCGAAACTGAAATTTCTAAGAGAGCACCAAGATGGACGAGATACGTTGGACTAGCCACGAGCCCCAGAGGAAAACTGGACGGAACTACCGAGAGCTCCGACGAGAGACACCGTGTCAATTCGTGAGATAAGATAAGCTCGGAGGATACATTCACAACGCCAGGGTATTTTCTGAAATTTTCTTATGGAATTATCGTCGCGTTATGGCTTATTAAATTCGGCTAACTCGAACTCGCTCGATTAATCGATCCATTTTTATTTTTAACGTAATCCCTCGACACGTACAATGGCAGTTTCGCGACTTGTCGTAGTCACGTGTTCCACGTACGCGATATTTTAATGTTCGATAATTGGAGGAGACAAAGGAGCTTGGTTTGTAGAATAAAAAGGATTTGAGGAATTTTCTTGCGAGAATTTTTCATTCCCTAGCTGGTTGGGTAATCGAATATTATCGTGGCGCTTGGAACACTATTTCTGATACAGTTATCGATATATCAGGAGAACGAATAAATACTAATAGCCATAAACGGGGCACCGTGTGAATCACTTATTTGTATTTTCCATTCTAAGAGCTTAGCGATCCAATGACGTCATCGAACGAAAATATCGTTAGAAATGGAAATCGAAATTGGAAATTGGAATTTATGGAAAACAGGCATAAACGTGAGCTTTCACGTTTCGCGTCTTACATCTAGCATTTAGCATCTAGCATCTGCATTTAATAATTAGCTTATAGTGATAATTGGTATTCTCAAAGGCTTCGACTTTGCATTTTATTATCGGATACTGCCCAGAGATAGACGGAGGTTCTATTTGCTCGATCGGCTGTTTTTCTCCCAATATTTTTCACAATCCAACGGCGATTAACCAACTGAGAGAATCGCGATAATATAGGTCAGTTATTGTTGTACAGGTAAAGGCTTGCACGTAGATTACAAAGTGGGCACAGCAATTAGCAACGCGTGTACGTGTATAGATGCAGGTTTATCGTGAAAATTTTCTACATAAACAACTGGTTATCAAAGATTTAGTACTCGAGTAGCATGATTAGAGGACCACTGTTAATCACACTATTCGTGAGTTTATTGAAATTAATTTACACCCGAATGGAACGACGAAGATGAAATAGGAATATCGAAGGAAATAGAAGTGCTTAAAATTTACAGATATAACTGTGTATTTATAGTCGTTTATACAAGATTTATATTCTCGTAATACCTAACAGGTTGATTAGTGAGTTGAATTTCGGTAGTGTAATAAACGGATAATAAAGTGCTCAAAGCGTGGCTTTCACTTTGTTTACGCTACATTCACGTATAATAATATAAATTATAAATTACACGAAAAGGTTTCTTTTATTCATTAACCCGAGCAATTATTTCTTATCGTTCGAGTGAAATCATATTATGATTACACTGCACAGCCATTGATTAATAAATAGATTTCATGATAATTTCGCAGACAGGATTCTGTCTGATATAACGAGAAAAAGAAATTTATTGCCTTTGAATAAAATAGGCGAAAAGAACGAACAGAAACACGTTACATTCAACAATCATATATATATGTGTATATATATATATTACTTGTCAAAGACGTATTAATATCGAATTAATATAATGTCTCATTGATGTTTCCTTAGAGCTACGATTAAACGAATAGACGATCCGCGATCCATTCAACTGGACCAGCGAAATGGTAAAAGATAATGTTCGTATCCCGTAAACAGGAAAACGAATAAAGCTACAATATTATTAATGTGTTACTCAACAAATGCAAACCGCTGCTCCGTGAGTCGACGTGATATATGATACAGATTAAATGGGAGTCGAGCGTCGAAATTCCGTCCAAAGTTTGCAATCAAAACGTACACTCGTTCTCATTTGTACAAAGTAGAATGTTGTTTTTTACCTATCAGCAAGAATACTATCGCCAACGATACGTGAAAGGAAAAGATACATAGTAAGAAAAGACTTTTCTTCGTGGTAGATGAAAATTATGCTACTGTAACTCTATAATAGTAAAGTACAATACGTGTGCAGTAACTGAAACTATGGATCTACAAAGATGTAAAGATCGTCGAGTAGAAAGCAAGAATTCTTAATATCTTTTAACCCGCTAATTATTTTACGTATTCATAACCCAGCTAAACGTAATGTAATTGGCAGTATTAATCTAATACTACGTTATTGCTATTCTCGTCACGTGTATCGAGTTTTTCGTTACTAAAAATCGCGTAGTCGTGAGAGTATCCTTGCCAATATGCATGTCGACCTATCGCTAGAGGAAAGGGAAATTTGTACATTGTTTGTACAAAAGTGTGACTCAATCTCGCCTGCGCCACGTGAATTTCGCCCTCTGACTAGACGTCTCCGCGGCGACCGGCATCGGATGAGAATATGGACACGCTGGTTTGGTGCAGAATGGATGATACTTGCACTGTTGAGCGGGATGAGAGAACACGCATCCCAATTTCGTGCAGGACAAGCCGAATTTGCATTTGGGATGTCTGTAAGCACACTTATCGCCGAATTTACACGCAGGGAATGCACTATAATAAGGAGAAAGATAAGAAACAGTTAAAAAAGATCGACAAACGTGATGGATGAAGAAATTAAAAAATTAAATAAAATAGTAACCTGCACATAGCAAGGGGATGAAGATACGCGCATTTACTTCCTAATGTACAATTCGGCCAGTATCTACATTTTTCTTTCGACTTATCTATCACCGTCACCGTGTTCTCTGTTAGTGGTTTTTTATCGAGACCTGAATGCAAAAAACGACATTGTCAAATTCGTATTTTAGAATTTATGTTGGAGCAAAATTATTGAAATTATTTTATTTACGTTTAGTTAATAATGAATTTGTTAATAATGCACTGGATTTTAAATCCGTGGGACTTGGTGAGTGGGATCTGTTATAAACAATTGGACTTAATTTTCTCCGCTTTTTTGGTATTTCTCCGGTTTTTTCTACGTTCTCTGTATTACAATTTTCATTGTTTTCTTCGGTCCTTTCTTTCATGCTCATATCACCTTCGACTTCCATCTCTGCCATTTGAAAAACAGAAACGTCTGATTCATTTTGAACGTATACATCGTTTTGAATTGTTGATAGTGCAAGCTCGTCGTCTTCATTCACCTGTAAGTACGAGTCATTAAGACCAATATTAGTCGATTAAATTCGTACAATGTTTAACGAGAATTTATCATTAGGACTGTTACTAACTACCTCCATTTCGAGTCGTTCATCGTCGTCGGATGTGGTTTTCTCTTTCATTAAATTATTGTTGTATCCATTAAGTGTAACTAAAAATTTTTGGTTGTCATCGCTCCTTTGGAATAAAGACATTACGACACCCATATGTTCCTCGGTAACTGGTTGCGGTACATCTACAGACCGTATAATACTCAAAAAAAAAAAAAAAAAAAAAATAAAAAAAATAAAAATTAAAAATTAAAGTAAATAGAATGAAAAACGTACTTACAAGGCTTCGATTTCGACTCCGAAACGTCTGTATTTAATTCTACTTGTATTTTCTCCATAACTAATCTTTTATTGGAATTCAAGTGTACTGATAGATTTTGACCCACATCCCGTACAGCAGCTAGTTTAAGATGTTTCAACGTTTGCTTCTTCTCCTGTGAAAATTTCTTAATGAGAAAAATGTTCTCGTATTAAATTATCGTGTCAAATTACTTTAGAGCTATAACATTAATATCTATTACATTTTATACACACCAGTAAGGATGGCTCTGGATTCTTTTGTGTAACAACAGATTGATTTGCTTCTGCAACAGCCCTTAATAAAAGTGATTGCGTGGCACGTTTCTGTGTTGGTTGTAATGGTTTCAGCGGTCTCGGTGTTACAATTACTTTACTGGGTATCTTCGTTTCCTCAGTCTCCTCCTCTATATCGCTGCATTCTTTATTTCCTTTCTCCAATGTTTTTAATCGTTTTCTCTCAGTCTTAACTGCAGCAGATTTATTTACAGCTATTATGTGAGATTTAATAGGTCCAGATGGTCCTACAGATTGCGTGTCATCGTCTAATTCCTCTTCTGCTCCCAAATTGAGGTAGTCATCGTCCTCGCTACTTTGAGAACGTCTGATCGACGAATTAAAGCCACTTTTAACGCTTACTGGTTTAAAGTTATTCTTGAATGGTCCCAATCTGTTCTTTATGTTTTTGTTAATAGTCAGAGTATCACGATCTTGCTCCAGAAGTTTGCTTCTAAACTCTACAGATTCTTTATTCCCTAATTGTTTAGGGGACTTATTTGCAATTCCTAAACGATCTTTAATCGTACCCGTCGTTCTTTCCGCCGATTTTAATTTTAGATTAGAATTTACTTTCTCCCTTAACTCTACGTTTTTGGATGCTTTTTCCACTTTGGAATTACCCAATCGAGTTTTGATACCAACTTTATCCGGTTTATTGTGTTTCAATTCGATCTCGCGATTCCTTTTCGGACGATCTTCCATGTCGAAGGTCCTTCCCCTGGGAAAATTATTATTACGGTTATTATCCAATCGATGCTTTTCAAGACGCTTCTCGTTTTGCCTATACCGACTTTCGGTATCTATCTTTTCTCTGTGAACCTCGAACTTCTTCCTGGGTGACACCACACCCAGACGATTTTTCACAGAGACAACAGACGTGACTTTTGGCTTGTTAACACAAGACTTTAATTTCCTTGTGTTATCCTCCATTGTGCTCTCGCCATCCTCGTCAATTTTCGATCTTTTTGCATCATTCTGCTTTCTCTCCAAACTATCCTTATTTGTTGTATCCAGTGGTCTTTTTAAATTTCTGATCGATATATCATCCATTTTTGTATCAATATGAGATTCTTTAGACTTATTATTGGAAATTTCAAAAGTTGAAACTTCTTTATTAATATTTGTATTTTGACTATCGCTTCCTAGTATTCTTTTGGACACAGACTGCTGAGTAACAGTGTGGTTTGATGTACTTTCTGACACACTCTCGTGATTAATATTTTTCACGAGTTTGTCTATACTTTTATTCTGACTTGTCTCTAATTTTTGACTAGATAAGGATAGTTTTGTATTTTGCTTATGGAATGATTTATCATCCTTCATATTCTTATTGGAAGACTTTTCAATGGGTAGAGTAGCAGCTTGGTCTTCCAAGAAGGAAGTAGTCGATGACTTTCTTTTCTTTCTTTCTTCCTCTTGTTTTACAACAACTGTGGGAACAAATTCCCTCAAAGTTTTCTTCTTGGCTACAGTGACTTTCTGTAACTTTTTCAATACTTGATCGTGTAACCAATCAACAAATGGTGTTGTGCAATTTTCAAGAAATAAGTATAAATCCTCATGCATCTGTTGACGAGACTTTTTATTTACAACCATTACTAAAATATAATCTGGTAGCTCCTCGTCATATCTTATTCCTAACTCCAGCAACTTAGCACGAATAGCACTCTGGAAAAAAGTTTAACAAAATTGTCATACATAAATTATAGGAAAGGACACATGAATATCTACAATTCCAAATTATTCCTAACAGCTTATAATTTAAATTTAATTTTAACGACTCTATCATCTCCAAATATTTTATTTCTTATTTTCTTCGTTTTTGTTTTTTCGCGATATCAGTATTTACATGAGATTATTTTGCAAATTTATTACAAAATTAATCAAACGACATATCGTTTGTGTTAATCCCACCCCAAAAATTTCAATAATTATACTGCGTAAACCACCAAAAATCGAGTAAAAATGCAATCGTGTAATCAAGAAAATATTAAACAGGCACATTGATAATCTCTTAAAGATCTGCGTCGGAAACTATTGAACACAACTAGACGATTAGAACAGTGTAAGTAGAGCCAAGTAAAAGTATAAATCCTTTACTTACCCGCAACTGATTCGTAACTTCTATCCCGCGTATGTCCATGACGTTGATTACATTTAACGAGTTGAATGCGCGAAGAAAGAAAACTGTTGTCGAGTCACAAAATCGACGATATTATCACGGATATTAAAGAATAAAAACATTCTCCGCCACGAAGGATCAGAATGCTTCCTTCCATTGAGAAAATAATCAACTTAGGTACGAAATCTCACAGATATTTTAGGTTTATAGCGCCACATAAGCAAGACCAATGAATAGTCGTGTTCCCTAAACCTGTTATTTCCATTATGCAGAGTAATTTAAAATAAACTAATAGTTCTGATATTCAAACTGTGAGTGTATTTATTGTTTCTTGAAATTAATATGCCTTCCGTAAGTAATGAGATTAGTGATTTACAATTCCTACTCCATTAAGGTGCGCATACTTCCGGTCGATAAAGCCAGTCTACGTCTTATACACTCCGTGGCGGAGAAAAGGCGGGAAAATATAAATTCAACTTACATTTGAATAGAAAACGAGAAACTGGTTTATTAATTTAACTTAGTTCATCTATATATCTTCTCTGAATATTTTATTTATTCGGTTCGATTAACAGGAAATTTATATTAAATTAAAAAGTCTACATTTTTTTTTTTAATATATGGACGAAAACAAATGCATCTCGGTAACCATGATCTATCATTAAAGACCAAACAAAGCATGTAATGAATAATTGAACTATTTTTAAAAGGGGAATCAAGATGCCAAGTGTGAAAAATATCCTCGAGTTTACTTATTTGAATTTACTCTACGATCTCTTCGTCTTATCAGTGAAGATCACTTTTGCTATGACTGCGGCTACTTTTAAGATGATTATACCGCCTCGAGCAAAGAATTTATTAGGAGAAACGGTGTTGGTAAATGGATTACTCGTATTTCGATTACAGCATCCTATTTATATCTGCTATTTCATCAGATAACCGGTGCTGGACATGGAATTGGTCGCGAATTGGCTATCCAGTTAGCTTCTTTGGGTTGCATAATTGTCTGTTGGGACGTAGATGCTGAAGGAAATCGATCGACTATGAACGTGGTGTCAAAAAATGGTGGAGAAGTAAGAAATAACGAAAGAATAATTGAAATGAAACACTTTAATTACATTTTTCCAAAATGGTCGCCATAAGATGCACCTAGCATTTAATCGCAAAATGTCTTATCTTCAGGCAACATTAAAAAGAGGAACAATATATTCACTTAAATATTCCTTTCTTGTTCTTCCATACACAATTCTGACGAATAACAAAATGTAGGCTTACGGTTTCGTGGTTGACGTGTCGAAAAGAATAGAAGTCCGAGAGACTGCAAGGCTGATGAGAAAGATGGGCGTGCCAGACGTGACCATTCTAATTAACAATGCCGCCGTATTATATCATCGTTCGTTTTTGGATCAAGACTCGGATCTCATAGAGAAGACGTTTAATGTCAACGTCCTGTCGAACTTTTGGGTGCGTTTGGTTAGAAATTCCATTTCTCAGAAGACCCAAATATTTAAATATCACAAACGATTCCGAAGCTTCTAAATGTTAAGAAGGCATTGAAACTTTGAATTCTTTCAACAGACCATACAGACATTTTTACCAAGCATGATACAGAACGGAAAGGGACACATAGTGTGCGTATGTAGCATGTGCGGCATATACGGGGTGTTTCAGAAAATAACTTACTGCTCCTCCAAGTTTGCCGTAAGAGGTCAAGGATTTCTGAATCAAAGTTCCGATATCCCCGGATATTTTAGGAATCGCTATTATCAGAATCGTGTTACGAATTGAACCGTGCAAAAATATTTTCCTACTTCTTCCGAGTCCATTCTCGCTTGAGAAAATGCAAATTCAGTAACTCGTGAATCTTTAATAGGATTGATGGAGGCTCTTCACGAGGAGCTGCGTTTGGACTCCAACTGTAGGAATATACGATTTACGACTGTTTATCCGTTTTACGTGGACACTGGATTAGCCAGGGACCCAAAATATAGGTAAAACGTGAGTCGTATAAGATCTTACCTCGATCTTCATATTGAAGAACAGGATCTTTGTAGATTCCCTTACATATTTGGCGTAACTTCACCGACGTACGCTGCTGGAGAGATAATCAAAGCAATTAGGAGGAATTACACCGAATATACTATTCCTAGATGTCTTCTTACCCTAAACTCTGTCAACAGGTATATTGTCTTTCTCTCTTACATCTCGCATATATTCTATGATCAAGTTCCACGTGATAAACAATTTTTAACTACCTGCACGTCAGTGAATTTAATATAAATACATAAATAAATTCAGATAACTTCGAATCGTAAGACATGTCTATTAAGTACCCAGGCATATTTTATTTCCTAATAAAATAACGATCTATCACCGATTCAATATTACCATAGTCATAAAGCGTTTGTTCGACCTTTATGACTTGCAGAATACTACCTGAAACCGTGATGTGGCTGATCCTCGACTTCCTTGCAGACGTGGGTCGAAAACGCCGGGAAAAACTGGCAGTTGGTGGAACTGTCGCTTCGTAAATTGCTATAATACTCGCTTATATAACACGATAATTATATTTTATTAATTGCACGTTACAGTTTTGTTCCAACACAGAGCCACGATTATGTACGAACGTGATATCGTAGTATTAAGTTGGTATGGATTAAACATCATTTTGTCGACGTAGATGTTATTACACGCTCTCTAGAACAGTTAACGAGACGCTGATTATTTTGTTCGTACATCCGACTGTAATCCGAATTACTTATCAGTAATAGAAATAGAAACCCGAATTCTTCGCTTCGTTTCAATTGCATAATAAAACGAATTTCATTTTCTGCCGGGGAAAATCGATCGTGCTGAAACCAGTTTTGGAATTCGCATAATGCTGCTCACGACATTGTCAATGCATAATACCTCTTCTCCCAGTTTCTTGTATAGTGTACACAATAGGAAACGTGGTTTACATTGAGAGAAAAAGATTTCTTAAGGCAGTTCGTGACAGAAAATATAGGAAATGGAAGATGAGGAAGTTGAGAATAAGAAACTTCGTCTTCTTTTCTCCGAGTTCATCCTCTTCCAAATTTCATGTTCAACCTTGATCATGCACGGTTTGTTATTTAATTGAATACACGAAGCTTTAAAAAAGGTGCTTTTAATCTTTTTAAGCTTTTAATCAGGAAGAGGAAGAAAGAAGGAAATTTAAAGGTTAAAAAAAGAGAGACTAGCAGTCATTAATTATAGTCTCATGGACGAGGTCAAACATAGTGGTCAAGCTATACAGTGAAAAAATATGAAAAAGTATTCTTTCAATAATTTTGACATTAAAAAATAGCGTCTCTTGAATATTCATTTATCCCGAATCGGCATGCGATTCTGTCTTATATTCGAAATTTTTGTCCTCGGCCATGGGTATTGAACCCTAAACCGGTTGGAGGACCGTTGTATGCATTCTGAATGATGCGTTCATTCGCATTCATGCGAAACTTGTCTCATATGTAATATCTTCACCGTAACAAATTCTAGCCGATTATTATGAAGATGCGATATAATGAGGAAACCAATTTCCTGTTACGTTACGCGTTTTGTGACCATCCTACAGGTCTATTGATGAATATGCAAATTAAGTACCACCGTATATAATACCTATTTATAAATTTAAATTAAATATCTATAGTGTTTTACTCTATAATTGATAAATATTATAATTTGTCTTAAATATCTATAGTGTTTTAATCTATGATTAATAAATATTTTAATTTATTTTTCTTAGCTATAGTGATAATTCGTTAAACTATATTTGGGATATTTTTATTATTATTTTTAACGAATTGATTGATAGATATTCTAATTTATCTTAAATATCAGTAGTGTTTTAATTTATAATTGATAAATATTTTAATTTATCTTAAATATCTATAGTGTTTTAATCTATAATTGATAAATATTCTAATTTTTCTTAAATATCTATAGTGATAATTCGTTAAACTATATATGAGATATTTTTATTATTGTTTTTAACGTGCTGATTGATAGATATTCTAACTTATTTTAAATATCTATACTGTCTCAATTTATAATTGACAAATATTTTAATTTATCTTAAATATCTATAGTGTTTTAATCTATAATTGATAAATATTCTAATTTATCTTAAATATCTATAGTGTTTTAATCTATAATTGATAAATATTCTAATTTTTCTTAAATATCTATAGTGATAATTCGTTAAACTATATCTGAGATATTTTTATTATTGTTTTTAACGTGCTGATTGATAGATATTCTAATTTATTTTAAATATCTATACTGTCTCAATTTATAATTGACAAATATTCTAATTTATCTTTCCTATCTATAGTGTCAATTCATTAAACTGTATCTGAGATGTTCTTATTACTATTTTTAACAAACTGATTGACAGATATTTTAATTTATCTAGCCAGACTATCGTTGCACAAAATTTTTCTATTAAAAACAAGAATTTTTCCAATTTATCCGGTTCGAAGACAGGTCTTGTTTTATAATTAAATTACTTTACATTTTATCGTTATATAAATTACTTTACAAATTAGAAATTGGAGCAAGCTGTTCGAACCATGCATTTCCTGGGATTTCAAAGGATTTTAATTGTCTCCTATCGACATCGATGGGTCTTCCCTTTGATATACCTGTTGCAGAAAGGACACGTTTAACAGCAAACAGAACCGTCAGGTCAGGTAGGCCTTTTCCAAATAGAAATCCGCCAAGCATGTCGAAACTGTTTGAACAGTTCCATGTCTTTCACAAAAGGTAATTAAACTTTTCAATACTCACACGAACAACAACTGTGTTATGTTTAACTTAACAATTTCGCGTCCACGCTTGCTGAACTTCCACGAATAAACCAGAATGATTTCAATAAATCATTTTTATAACAAAAGGAAAAAGAAACGTGATCGTTAGCTATTTCAGACTGCGATCTAAGGAAATTTTTACGCTACGAGATCCTAATGGTGGTTTCTATCTACACTTTGGATTGAGTAATCGTCTTCCTGGTTATCGTTACATCCTTCTATCTTTACGATGTTTCGAGGGAAAATACCACTCGCGAAATATAAACTATGCAACGTTTCCGCGAATCTTCGTAAAATCGAAAAACGAGTCATTCCTGTTACATTAACTCAATATTTTGAACGTCGAATGCTAATTTTTCAAATTTAAATTCAGCTTTAATTTGAATATTCAAATTCAAAACTCGATCATTTCGTCTTTGATGGTTTCATGGAGAATTATAAATTTTTATACTGGCAGGTTTAAAAATTCAGAATGTTTATACCCCGAAGCTATTATTGTGATGTACGATGAATTCTTATGAAGCCTCCTGTTACGACAACATGCAGTGTCATTTCAAATAATCTCGGTTTTTATTCATTATGTTTGTTACGTTTCTTACATTGTCTCGTCTCTGGTCAGTGTTTCTTTGAACAATTTCATCCTTTACTATCCACGATCACAGTATCGGACTGACAGAAGTCTCCAAGGAAGCTAGGATGTGGAAATTTATTAACCCTTTACACTCGACGATTTTTCGGCTAGAGAAGAGTAGAAATTCAAAGGTTCTCTACTAAAAAACTGACAATACTTTTTTCAGCAGTAAATAAAGAATTGTATAATAATAGAATTGTAGAATTATTTGACTTCGATACTTCACACACTGTTACGTTACATTAAATTTGATATATTAATTAATATCGATCTTCCAAATTTTATGAAATGCTCACTGAAGCTCACCTTTCGAGTGCAAAGGGTTAAAATAGCGGAAGTATAATGAAAAACGAAGTAAACTAACAATGTTGGCAAGCACCTGAAAATTCCAGAAATTGTATTTATATATTTAGCTGATATTTTCTGAGTATCGCGAGTAAATTATCAAGCTATAAGTCAAAATTACGATATCGCGGTGAACCATAATTTAGCGATGCAATGACACATGCAACAGCAATATGATTTTTTCGATAAAAATGCAGCAATGTTAGCAATATTACCATATAATACCGTGCAGGGCCGGCGTAAAGCAGGTTCAGCGGAACCCGGCCCCACGTTTTGAAAGACCCCACGGTCTACGAAAACTCATCAGACATCTTGCAAGACCCCCTGTATAGTAGATTGAATATTCGAGTGTGCGTAGAAAATACAATCGCATAATCCATTAATCGATTATGGATTAATTGGATATGGTACAGCTTGCTGTACACCGACACGAGTGCAAGATTTTCTCTGCCATCTTTGCATTGAAATATTTCGTTGCAGCGTGTTCTAAACGTTGACGTTAAACGTTGACATCAAAGGCTGATACGACTGCGACACGGGTGCGGAAGATATAAGGTGTTAAGGAAATCAGCCAATTAGAATACACCGATTTTGATTAACTGTTTAGAAAATGATGATACCGTACCATTTACCGATATTACATCGGATTTAAACGCGTATTCTGGCTGCACAAAATTTTGGAACCTGGTCCCGCGAAAGGTCACGTCGGCCCTGATACCGTGTCCTTAAATTCAAATTCAATATTAGGAGAACGAGGTACGAACAATTTTAAAAATTCTAATGCAACAAATGACTCCCATTGATATTATTTAGAAAAGGAGTTTCAAAGAAAGTGACACCAAAAGGTTAAAATTTGATATTATTCCATAATAGGGACTAATCGGTAATTTTTCAGAATTCTTTACAAATACTTGCAAATAAGAATTTATATTTTACTGCCAAACTTGTCCTCCTATTATAGTCAAATTATACGCGTTAAATTAATCTCGCCTAGAGCTGCTGGAAGCTATGAAAAAGCTGAAAAGAGACTACTTTTTGTCAAAATATCGCAAAACACACTCGTATGTCTAATACTTGCGTCATAGCAGTTTCTTCTCGGATTTATATGTTTCTGCTTTTGACTTGAAAAAACGCAGACGGGACGTATTTCAACGGAAGACAAGAAGGAGCATAAAGTCGATGGCCTTGCTATACTGGGTAGCTTGTCCCAGTGTACTCCAGGAGGTCCGTGTTCAGTCAAGTTCAAGCTCTTGTGGTATTCTGTTTAGTGGAACTGCTTCCTCCTCGGGAATCTTAATAGATCAGTGCAGTCTTCATTGCAACGTTTTCCTCTCTACAGAGTGATACATTTCAGTGACTTTCTTTTACCTATTTATGTAATCGTTCTTCTATTTCAATTCCTTTTCACTTTGCTAATCCAACCGGTTATTAATTATTAATTTGTAAGAATTCAGATTTTCCGATTGTATCGTGGTTTCCTATTATGATTCAGATATTTTCTAATGCAATTCTTGGTGAACGTAACGCAGAGATTTTCTGATGAGATTTATAGATAAACTGTAAGTAAACTGTATCAGAGCATAAGCCAACGATATAATATTTAAATATAATATTCAATATATAAATATTTATATATAATACTTAATAATATTTAAAATGTAATATTTATATATAATATTTAATAATATTTAAAATATAATTTTTTCATTTTTGGATATTTGGATCGGTTGTTTATAAATCTTGATTTCGTTCTTTTACATATCGCCTTTTAAATTTAAAAAATGACGTAGGGGACAGTGATGGATGAAACTAAGGTCCTTCGAGACATTTTGCATCACGCTTTATATTTTCATATGAAAACATGTTACGTACAATTTGTAGACTCATCTATATAACTTTTTACAATCTTATACTTAGACAAATAAATATGCAATATCCTCGACGAATCGATATGTAGGCAGATGATCAATTTATGCTTGCCTTGAAATTAAATTAATAAAAAACTTGAATCTATAATTTATTCCTTTTTGAAAAACAATAACACAGACGTAAGATTTATTTAGACGATAAATTATTACAAAATTAATTTGAATGTTTTCAATCACAATTTCTTGCTGCTCCACTTTTTTATATTTACACTTTATACAGTTAATTCTGTGAGATGAGATGTTGTTATAATTTATGATTTAAAAAGTTCAATTTTTATTTATTTAGTTACATTTATTATATCAATAATTTTTTTTTATAGAATAAGATATATAAATTTAAATAAAAAATATATAATTAAACGATTTCATAATTTAATAATTTTATTTTTATTTTCCATATATTTTTTAATTATAGGATATAATATATTATCAATTTTTATTGGTTGAGATGGTTTAGGATTAATTTCTTATTGTTTAATTATTTTTTATCAAAATAAAAATTCTTATAATGTTGGAATATTTACTATTATTTTAAATCGTTTAGGAGATAGAGCATTATTAATTTTATCTTCAATAATAGTAATATTTGGAAGTTGATACGATATGACGTAATATAAAATTTCACTTACTTCTATACAATAGAAAATTTTGTAGTTGAAATGGCAATTAAATATACTTTGCCAGCAGCAATTAATCCATTGTGCTGGAATTCGAGGAAGTAGAAAAGGATGAATAATGTTTAACGAACATTATTACATATTTATAATGTTCTAAGAGGGAGTATGAATTTTCAGTGGTGCAATCGGAGGTGTGGACACCGATGAATGATGCCCCGTGTTTGAGACCTATACCTCGCTTCTTGGCTTTACCGTTAGCCATCTAGGTTCATAATCTTCATGCTGTGTGCTGGAGGCAGTGATTCGTAGCATCTTCGAGGTTTCTTGGATTCTTTGCGTCAGAAGTAACTGCAAGTTCAAGGTGAGCCGTTCGCATTTTCTCTTCTTCACTGTTTTGCATACTGCATTTTGCCTTTGCAGTAATAAAAGTTCAGTACTTATTAATATAAACATCCGACGTTAATGTACATTTCGTAATTTATCTTCTGCAATTCGTCCTGTCATTTTAGTTTCCAAACTTTTCTTCCCTTTTCAAATAGGACTTGTCCTGTCACTGCATTTGGTCTCACTTCGTTTCTAATTTCCACCAAGTACTATTCCATCACACTATACATCATTCGAAGTACTTCCCTCGTTAGTCTACATTTCCTAATGAATTTTCTGCAATTCGTCCTGACATTTTAGTTTGCAAACTTTTCTTCCCTTTTCAAATAGGACATGTCCTGTCACTGCATTTGGTCTCACTTCGTTTCTAATTCCCACCAAGTACTATTCCATCACACTATACATCATTCGAAGTACTTCCCTCGTTAATCTACATTTCCTAATTAATCTTCTGCAATTCGTCCTGTCATTTTAATTTCCAAACTGTTCTTCCCTTTTCAAATAGGATTCAAAATCCTGTCATTGCATTGGGTCTCACTTCGTTTCTAACTCCCACCAATTACTTTTCCAGCATACTATACATCATTCGAAGTACTTCCCTCGTTAATATACATTTTATAATTAATCTTCTGCAATTCGTCCTGACATTTTAGTTTCCAAACTATTCTTCCCTTTTCAAATAGGACATGTCCTGTCATTGTATTTGGCCTCACTTCGTTTCAAACTCCCAACAAGTACTTTTCCATCACACTATACGTCATTCGAAGTACTTCTCTCTTACGTGTCCTTAAAAATCGATTAATAATTCATAAGACAGGAAATAAACGATCTACCTTCATAAGTAAAGAAGCAAGAATGGAATCACGAACCTTGGCGACTCTTTGTACCATCCTGGAATTCTACGAGGCACTATTCCATCTTCGCAATTTTATTCCTGCCTTTAAACTTCGATTTTCCTCGTACCTGTCGCGAGCAATGGTCCCAGCGATATATTTAGCAAAATTATCAGCACTGTTAGCAACACGTCGCTGATAGATATCTTTATCCGAATTGCTTGCACGAGTAATCATCGTGGGTTTCTTCACAAGCACGTGCCCACTGGACAAGTTTACCTTGAGGGTAGCTGAAGGGGCGAGAGGCAAGTTCATGACAAACTTCTCTCGAGGATTGAGCGATTATATCACACTGCTGGAAGTCAATCAAGAAGTCAGTGACACCAAGGGCACAAGGTTGTTCACTGTACCGTTGCTATGATGTCACGTTAAGCCTCGTATCGTCGACCTTATCCTACCACAGCTTAGAGAACTCGGGATTAAAATATCAGTACACTTACGATTATTTTTCATCGAAAATAATTTTAATCTCGTTGTTTGAGAGATCCTTTGAAACTCGAGGCGTTTATATAATCGAGAGATACAGTTTCTATAAATACCCTCGTTCGCGAATTTCAGAAATTCCAAACCTCTTTCGAACCGTCAGACCACGACGAACTTACAACCTCCGGAAAATATATCAAATTTAAACTGTTCGAAATATCGAGCTTGAAAGGTTCAAATTCCACCTTGCACTACTTCGCCGATTTTTATAAATAAATTTTTACTTTCACTTGCGCAGGGATTTGCATAAAATGAACATTGCAAATAATCCACGATTTCCTGTTGCATATCGTGACCAAGGTGTCGCAACTTTCCCTCCGGATTTTCCAAAATTTTCTATTTTCTTCCTCAATCTTCTCCATGGACATTGCAAATATTTCGCGAATTTTTGTAGCATATCGCGATCAATGTGACGCAAATTTTTCTCTAAATTTTCAAAAATTTTCTATTTTCTTCCTCCCTCTTCTCCATGGACATTGCAAATAATTCACGAATTTTTGTAGCATATCGCGATCAATGTGTCGCAAATTTTCCTCTGAATTTTCAAAAATTTCCTATTTGTTTCCTTCCTCTTCTCCATGGACATTGCAAATATTTCGCGAATTTTTGTAGCATATCGCGATCAATGTGACGAAAATTTTTCTTTGAATTTTCCAAAATTTTCTATTTTCTTCCTCTCTTTTCTCCAATTTTGATTCTTCGAGACAATAGAACGCTGATGAGGGTCTCATCTCAGTCACCTTTCCTTCCGCTTCTCCTCTTCTTCTTCGCCAATCATTCGGCCAGGTATGGATAACTGATGAATAAAGATTTCGCCACGGTTGGGCTGTTTTATGAAGAAAGGAAAGAGAAAAGGAGTCACGAGATACGCGGAAGAAATTCAAGCAGTCATGCAATCGTAGCACGTGCAACGGATTCAATTCTATCTCCGTATGCAATCATTCAGACCCGGTAAACGCTTTCACGTAATAGCTGTTATGCAACACTGATTTTTCCATTTTGATTTATCGTATTCGTTCCGTGATACGAACCAGCTATTTGCACTAACAATCGATACAGATTGGCACTGTGGTACGGGTGTGGCATTTTTCTAGGACACCCTGCACGCTACTCCTTTAGGCGATTTTTCAATGCACGATTCATTTTTCCTGTTTTCGTAACGACTGCCGGTGCTGTGAATTATTCCTGACGGTGAATTAGTTTTTAATCGGTATTTATTGTGATTTATTATGATTTATATTATAGCAACGCGATTCATGCAGGTAAAACAATGTTTCATAATTTAGTGGAACGAGAAATTTATTTCCCCGAAATACGAGGAAACGTAAAGATTTACTATTCTGTCTTGCGAAACGCGATGGCGTACACACCTTTTACACCGTGAGTACGGATTTCGTTACCGAGTCTAGCTAGTAGCCGTTTGATTCAATAGGAAACAATAAAAGAAGGGTTGCAGCAGGTGGATTAATGAATGTTCTTTTTGCTATTCTATCGTGATCACTCGTAAACACGTTCTTACTTTCCTGCAACTTAACACCTGTGCAAAATATAATCCGAATGGACAGGTTTAACATTAGAGTGTAATAATAATAGAGTCGTTTGTAAATTTCTTTCTGATTTTTTAAACCTTCCCATAATTATTTATATTATATTTATAATTAGATAGAGAGAGAGAGAGAGAGAGAGAGAAATAATCGAGGAAAGGTTTAAAAAATTAAAAATGAAAAGAAAAATATACATACTATTAAATATATATTTAATATATTAAATTAATTATATATCGAATATAATTGGAGCAATCCATATACATAAAAGAAAAAGAAAATTTTCCAGAGATAAGATAAATAAATATATCTCTAATATATATTAATTTGGTTGTAAATTTCTTTGGATTTTTGAACCTTTTCGCGATTATATATGATTAGGGAGAGAGAAAAATTATTATATATCGAATATAATTGGAGCAATCCATATATATAAAAGAAAAATTAAATCTTCCAGAGATAAAATAAATAAATATATCTCTAACATATATTAGAGTCGGTTGTAAATTTCCTTTGAATTTTGTAAACCTCCTCACGATTATTTATATTATATATATATATAATTAGAGGGAAAGAAAAATAATCGAGACAAGGTTTAAGAAATAAAAAATAAAAATAAAAATATACATACTATTAAACATATATTTAATATATTAAATTAATTATATATCGAATATAATTGGAGCAATCCATATATATAAAAGAAAAATTAAATCTTCCAGAGATAAAATAAATAAATATATCTCTAACATATATTAGAGTCGGTTGTAAATTTCCTTTGAATTTTGTAAACCTCCTCACGATTATTTATATTATATATATATATAATTAGAGGGAAAGAAAAATAATCGAGACAAGGTTTAAGAAATAAAAAATAAAAATAAAAATATACATACTATTAAACATATATTTAATATATTAAATTAATTATATATCGAATATAATTGGAGCAACCCATACATATAAAAGAAAAATATAATCTTCAAGAGATAAAATAAATAAGTATATCTCTATACTGTTCAAGACTCAGAAAATTAGTATTCCTATTTATGAAAGATTCTTCAATAATAGTGTTACAGTGGCAAATGATATTTTGCTATTACTGCACTACTGTACTATTATACTAAGCATCGATCTATGCTTCGTTACAAAACCAAAGTAGTTTCAAAAATGGAATGCAGAAATAAAACGAAGCTGGCACGATAGCGTTTACATGAACTATAAGCTTGCAAAGAGGGGATGGAAGGTTCATAAAGGCTTCGAGTTCGCCGACGTGTTGTTTTAAAGCTGCCAACTTGGAACGTTAAATCGTCGAAACGGTGATGGTGTTTCGAAGCCATTTCACTAGCTAAAAATTCTTCCATTATGCAACGTTGATATACTTTCGCCGTGTTACCGAATCAAATTTTCCGGATGCAATTAATGCACTATGAGACACAAGACATTCGCATGATAGCGCGCCGTTCGCCAGTGCTCCGCGAGTGCCATCGAGTTCGCCAGCGCCCGAACTTTCCCAACGATTTTTCTCCTCCATTACTATCTCCATTCTTTCCTATTAAATTCATTATCGTCCAATTTCTCGCGTAGAGTTCTTCAAAAACAATTTCTCCATTTGTGCCTTTACATCGATCCACTTCCTCGACGTTGAATTAACTTTTCACCGATTCGTTTAGCCATTGATTCTCCATATTTTTCATTCTTCCATCTAATTCTCTAATATTCATTTCTAGAAGGTTGAATTCTTCCTGTGGCTCTTTAATCTTTTGCACTCGAGAGGTGAGCTTCAATGACCATTTCATAAAATTTGGAAGATCGATATTAATTAATATATCAAATTTAATGTAACGTAACAGTGTGCGAGGTATAGAAATCAAATAATTCTACAATTTTGTTATTATATAATTCTTTATTTACTACTGAAAAAAGTATCATCACTTTTTTAGTAAGAATCTTTGAATTTCTACTCGTCTCTAGCAAAAAAATCGTCGAGTGCAAAGGGTTAATATCCATTACTCTTAACATCTTTTATTACTCTTCGATTCGGTGTACCTAATTCCAATACTTCATGACAGTGCTTGGCAGTTCCTCGGACTTGCTCGATTAAATCGCTAAACTTAAACTGCGAGTAATTGTTTGCTTTTGTTGGTGATTGATAAAAGTATTCGAATTAAGAAATCGCAGTAGTGATTCCGAAGGCCAATTTGGTGTGCAATTCGTACCAATCGGAAAGTACTTGGATTTACTCCATTTTGCTCTTGCTTTTTTACTAATTTTAATTTCCGTCCTTTCAGTGCGCCATGCTTCCTATAAGGGACGAGACTGTGATCGTGAATCCGAGAATGGTTTATCCCTCGTCCACCGTCTGGTTGTTCCTCACCATCGAATTCTTCGTTAGCACATTTCTGTCTGCTTTCCTGACCGCCCTCACTGTCATCAAGTCTCTGCTGCCGAAACCACCCAGAGATCTAACTGGAGACGTAGTCTTGGTAAGATATGAATTATTTTCGTCACTCGGCTTCCAATCTTTCTTCGATAATGATTTTCATCGAACTGGAAACGTAAAATTCGAATTATTTATCAATAATTAAATATAATTTCCAAATGAAATTCTTTAACCGTTTGAGTCCCAGAGGGTTTTGAAAAAACACTGTCGAGGTATCCCAAGCAACGCGATAGCGCTTCTTCTATTTTATATCGAGGAATCCCAAGCAACGCGATAGCGCTTCTTCTATTTTATGTCGAGAAATCCCAAGCGGCGAGATAGCACTTCGTTTATATTATGGCGATGAATGGCCAAGTGGTACGATAGCGTTTCGACTTTGACAGTCGGTGACACACCGTCAGCTGTCGAGAACGCTCGAAATGTGCTGGGTCTTCACGACATGAAATCTGAACAGCGCGATCGCGCTTCTTGGGACACAAACGGTTAAGTTTCTACTACTCGCGAATTTTTGATCGGTGAAATAAAAAGAAAAATTGAGGAAAGAGTTATAAAAGGGAGTGATACTTTTAATAGCTTCATTTATGACAAAATGTCTTCCTTTTCAGATAGCCGGTGCCTCTTCCTCCCTAGGCGAGTCTCTCACAGAGGAATTCGTGAAAAGCGGGTGTTCCGTGGTCTGCTTGGACAACGACTGCACAGTACTCGAGGAAACAGCGTCCAGATTGAGGAAGCAATATCCTTCCATCGAGGAAGTGAAACCAACGCACAGGAAGGACGATTCCACGCCATGCTGTTCGGCCATATCCGTTCACGAGTGCAACTTGTTAGACAAAAATGAGATCAGAAGAGTAGCTCAGAAAGTGAAGGAAGATATTGGGAAGATAGACGTTCTGGTGACGTGTGTTGGCAGTCCGGATCAGGATATCTTTGACACGGCCAGCAGGACCTTGATGAGTCACTTCTGGGTATAAAATTCTTTCCTGATAGACAGATAGATTTTCCATCGTTGGAATATCTTAAGATCCGAAGAAACTTGTGATTAATTTATTAGACGAGGAAAAGAGTCCGTGAGAAATAAATAATGGTTAATCCGTGACTGAAATAAGATAAGAAATTGATTGATGATTAGGAATGATGAATGTAGAGTACGTTTTTCGCATCCACAGACTGTTCTGGCGTTCCTTCCAATGATGATGTACCGAGAACGTGCCCACGTGGTTGGTGTGACTCCAGTCGCATCGAATAACGACGCTTTCCATAGTTCCAGGGTCGCTATAATAAGTGAGTATCTACGAATACTTCTTATCTTGATAATCAATGAATTAATACTAGATTTATCAATCTTTGACGTTCGATACAGGTCTCATGGAAAATCTATGCCAGGAATTGAGCAACCACAGTAACCATTTAACATTCTTGACATTCTCTCCAACCGCAGAATGCAGGTAATACTACATCCAAGAGAGAAAAGGAAATTATTTACAATGTTGTTACATAGAAAGAATTCGTGAACAATTTGGATCATTTAAATGAATGGAATTACGTAATTATTAATAGTTCTACAGCTTTCACAGAAAGATTATTTTTCTATGTATGTCAAAAAGTAGATTCCTTCTCTTGGAAGAATGTAAAAGATTTGAGAATCTCTGTATTGTTTCTTTGTTATGAAAAGAATTACTTTTTTAATTGAACTATAGTAAGTTAATTATATTTCTCTGATTTTTAAAGCACAATGAAAGAGAGTGAAATACAAGTGGCCAAAAACATTGTCAGAGCAATAAAGACTGATCAATGTAATGTGAATGTCAGCTGGATATCTAGATTACTATATCATATAAGGTATTACAAAATAAATGGAAAATAAAATCTATCTTTTTTCATTTAATTTCGGGGTATGACAAATAATTTCAAAAACACATTAAGCTTTTTATAACTTATCTGTTTTATTTTTCAGCTGCGTGATATACAACGGAATAACATTGCTCACACAATGGTTTCGTCTTCAAGGATGCGATTATCCCGAGTAAATATGCCCTTTATGATCAACAAAACCATTAAAAGAAGATGCTCCGTGAATTACTATACCGAAACTCGAAACGACGTAAAACGACGTCGTTTCCAAAAACCATTTCAGAAATCTTCTTAAAAATCTCGCTTACTCAATTAAAAGAAACTCAAGTGTTACTCCAATTGCTCATATATTTTGTGATATTTAAAAAATATACACAATTCGAAAAAATACATCAAAATGACGAAAAATTTGAAGGATAATCATCAGCGATAATTACGAAGTATCAAAATTTTCATACAAAGAGATACACAAATCATTTACATTAGAAAGAGGAGAATATTTGTATTTAAATGAAATTGTCAGTTCTTCTTGTTTGAAAAACGTTCGTCAATCAGGAATTAGTACATCGTAATGCCCACTGTCCGAGTTTCCAGTGAATAAAAGTCTAGCTGTTTCATATTGCGAGCTAACGTGATTGTGAAATACTCGTTTAAGCTCTTGTCTATCAGTGATCTCGCGATATATCGACAGATTCATGCCATACATCTTGGTAACCACCGTGCATTCGAGTTCACTAGCAAATGTGCCCACCATGTTCATGTAATTGCCATAAGTTTGCCGGTCTGATATGTTCCATTCTGCCATTACGAACGGCCCATACTCGTGCCAGTTTTCCCTGATGTGTTGTACGACCTGTCGAACAAAATTTCTATCGTTTTTACGAAGAAAGAAAGAGATTGATACTTTCATGGAAAGAAAAAATAGATAGTTGCTTTTACTTTCTTAGATATTTTTGTAAAATTTATTAATTAAATTAGGTTTAAAATGTTTAAACTTCGGTGTTATCATATTGTATATATTTGTACAGGAGAAAATGAATCTCACCATTGATCGTAGGTAGCGATGTTCGTTCTCGTTCCGCCATAGGATGTAACTAATTGCTCGAAACATACAGTTACCATCGCCATAAATGTTGTGCACGCGAAACGTGCCTTCAGTGCATCTTAAACGAGCCGTACCTTTGATAAGAAAACAAAACTTTATGTTCAATTGCTATAAGAAATGATCAATTGATAAATCATTTACTTTTTTCTTGGATGCTTTGTTAAATAAAATAGGAAAAGATTATAAATATAGGTCAAGATGTACCTCCTTTAAAAAAGATAGAACGTTTGTTTTTATTTCTTTTAATGCGTGTGTGAGAACGAAATTGCTCACAGGGAATCCAATCAGCTTGATGATACCAAACAGACTTCGTTTGTCGAATACCGGAAATGTGAATATAGAAGTCTCCGCGATCCAGGTGTTGCTCTTGTCCAAATCGATTATATCTTTTCGCATTCTTGTGTAATGACGAGCGACGTACGCACTTCCCTATTAATAAAACATGTAAGAGATAATCGATGATTATTTTTATAAATTCACTATTAAAAGGATAGAGCTAATTTCGATTTAGAAATCGTTGCTTATCAACTTCGAATGTACTCTTATACTTTATACACATAAATAATTTTAAGTTCGCAAAGATTTTAAAAATTGAACGTAACAAAAAACTGTAAATTATTATTAATATTTCTTATTTATATATTCTTTGTTTACCTTCTTCGAAGATGTGACTACAGAAAACGAAACACCAGAGGCAAGGTAAAAAGAATGCCTTTAAAAATTTTAATATATGGACTTTAGTAACGTCCAGCTTAGATTTCCTTCTACACTAGGAGAATTAGCCAGTTTCATCGACTGCTGCATTTTTTTTAATGTTTAAATTTGACCCAGAAATGGGTTTGATATGCATTTCTCTCGCTCTCCTATTTTTTTTGTTTTTTTTTTTAATTAATTTCGAGTTTAGTCGCGTGTAGATAAATTATACAAACATAATTTCGTACATTGATATTGGCATTTTGGAGCAATGTTGACATGAATTCCGATTTTCTTATGTTTTCTTATTTCGTAATGAAATTGCATACGTTCGTTGTATATATAGGGTATCTCATAAGAAACAAGGCCTTTAAATCTTTCAATTAATTATAATTGTATGGAAGAAGTTTTTAAGACAAAAATATTCCGCTTTGTTTCTTTGTTATAAGCAATTTTTAAAAATCGTTGATTTCGTAGACCATGAAACACTATAACCATCTAACGGTGGAAAGGTGAAACTAATCGCTAGTTAGCAAATACAGATAATTAAAATTTCTCTGCATTACGCCAAATTTTCTAACTTCTATGGGTGCAAATTATTTCTTAAATGTCAAGCTTTAATTTGCATCCTTTAAAGTTAAAGCATTTGATATAATTGCAGAGAAATTTTAATTATTTATATTCTTACATTGCGATTCATTCTATATTACCACCGCTAGATGGCCATAGTGGTCCGTGTCCATAAATTGGACTGTTTTTAAAAATTGTTTACAATAGAGAAATCGGGGGAATATTTAGATTTTATTATATCGGTTACTTCTTAGATGACAAACTTTAATTTTTATCTCTCAAAATTAAAAAATTGTGCCTAATTGCAAAAAAATATTAATTACTTGTATATGCCATATAGCAATTAGTTCCACCGTTTAACCGCTAGATGGTTATAGTGTATCGTAATCAATAAATCAAAATTGAAAGATTACTATTATTTATTGAACCAGAAGAAAATTGTGAACTCCGTCTACTTTAATTATATAATGTGACGTTATTCTTTAATACATAATATTTTTAAGTGTATGAAGTGTTCGAATAGAATAACATATTATCGAGCAAGAAATATTCAATTTAATTTTATATGAAATTTGATTAGTTTCTAACCTGCTCTAAGAATACCTCCATTACAATTCTATGCTCCCGTTAAATGAAGAGAAAATACATCAGATGTAAATCTGAACTATAATTTATGGTAGATATGCCGCCATTTCTTTCCGTTTCCTCTTATTTCTGTTCCTTGTTTGATATCTTCGCCAATGATGTATAATCCTATTATTAATGAAGCAGAACTTGACATAATTTATTTTTGGTTAGTAATCTGCTCAAATTCTTTTAATTTTTCTTCTACTTTTTAGGACAGTATAATAGGAGCAAAATGTACTTACAAGTTGAACGAAATAACCTAATTTTTATCTTTCTTGCACGTTTGTGGTTCTTGTTTAATATTGTCATCAATATTCTACGTTCTTAATAACAGAAGACTTTTTGTATCAGGTATTCATAATAAAAGTTGGTATTAAACTTCTCTAGTTTACTACATTTTTCTTTGTTATAGCCAGAGCTCCACTGTTGTTTTATACTCCTGTTACTTTAGAAGCATTTTTAATCAAAATTTATAATGAAAACAAGGTACAATATTTTCTATGGCTCTGCATTATCTTTCTTTTTTAGAATAATATTATAAAGCTATTTATAATTTAAAATAGTACTCTAGTATTATCTACTACCATTATGAATATTAATCATATTTACAAGAATAAATAACAAAAAGATTGTGACTTTTATTTGAATTATTCATAGGTGTATTTAAAGAAGATATAAGCCAGGAAATAGAAGTAAAAAAAGGATCAAAAACCGGCTAAGGCGTAGGAATATAAAGGAGCAGTAGGTAGACAGGAGCATAAAGAGCGGAAAACGGGGGAAATAAAGGAGAACGGCCTAACAAAAGGAAAAAGGATCGAACCCGTTGCACAGAGTAGCAATGACGCCCTAAGTATTTAAAGCCCAGGTAAATGTATCCTCACTTTACTGCGCATGCTCACCAAATAGAATTCAAACTTCTAAAAACTATTAAATACAAATTGTATTCCAAAATTAAAATTCCACCTACATAAATTATTTTTTTAAACTTAAAAATGTATGAGTTTTATTCTAAGTATTAATAATTAACTACATTATACATATTCTCCCACCATAATACATATATAAGTACTATGTATTTTATGTAACATACTGCGTACGCTACCATTCATAAACAAAAGCCCAATACACTATTTTATAGCATACAGTCTACTCGATTAAATTTTTCCATTTGAAGAACACTTTTAAATAACTTCTTCCACTTTATGTGCACCCCTAATTATACTTTCTGGTTAACCTATTAACTACGTACAAAGAAAATAAGTTCTTATTTCTAACAAAAACAAACTAAAATAATTCACTTTCATTAATCTTCAATTTTGACCAAACAAGTTCTCGATTAATCTGTGAAGAATTACCAAGTTCTAACAAGTTAAGGTTAGAAGCGACGAGACTATTGGCCACTACCAATTACACGGGCAGAAAGTAACGAAGTGGGAAAAGCGTAACGATATCATCTTCCAGTGGAATGATCTGGCCGAGTAGACCGTAGTCAAGTTGCTTGGCTACAAAATCGTATCGTGAGTCGGGTGCATGTCACTTGCACCAGTCGGTCGTGAGAAAGGGACGGAACAAGTGTTGAGGTAACATGGCGGCGCATTGGAACGTGCCACAGTGATGCAGCTAACGCGCAACGAGATCGTTCATATTGAGTGACCAAAGAGATTGTGGCCTCGCACGCTAAAACATCCGTCTGGCCAAATGACATGGGAATTTGTAATCTCCTGCTGACAATATGCATCTTACAACTCGTGAGTGTCGCGGATGGAAAAATGTTTCATTCCCTGATAGAGGAAATTGTCGTCATCCTGTAACACGCGATTCGCGTTTTTCTGACACTGAGTCACAGTTTACCTTTCGTACAAAAAGAATCCGATTACTGAAAAGATTTTAGTTATCTGATATTTTTTTATGGAGGGTAAAATAGTGCAACGGGTCATTAGACGTAAACGAACCGAACAATTCGAACGATTTTATCGACGATATCACGGCTCGATGAAACGGCGTACGCACTTACTCGATTATCACATCAGTTTATCGATCCATGGGTTGCTTGGTTTATCTCCGTGGATTAGAGATCTTTGAGTAGAAACTGGGCGATCCATTTAATACCGCTTTTACTACTTTCTAAGTACTTTCTTGTGGACTAGCGTCAATACCAGAGTTCTACATTGCATTACGAGAATCTTTTTTGCAAATTGAAAAATGCAATAGAACCAAGATGAAATAATAAAATTTGTTGACTCTATGTTATTAGTTAGTGTTTTGATTAATTTGATTCTAGCAGATTTGATTTTGCAAAATGCAAAATGGTAAAAATAAAAACAATAGCTTGTTATTTAAAATAAATTTCTTGGTTAAAAATAAATAAATATCTTGAGTGGTTCATGAACACTGGCTTCTATTTGAAGTATCAGATTAATTGGGTATTTAGAACACAGAGCAATTGGTCCAGATTAAGAATGTGAGCAAAAAGGAGTTGGCAGAAATTAAAGAAATTAATGTTGAGACACTGACATATTTTTATGGAACATATTTAATGGTTTATTGAATTCAATTAAGATTGTTAATTTCTATTTGTAGATCACTACAGTAGAACGCCAGGTCTTCGACTTTCTGGGCTTTATGTGGGCACCGATACTGGTCAATTTTTTCAACATTATATTTGTAATCTTGGGGTTCTTTGGGGCTTTTCAATATAGACCTAAATATATCATATCAGTAAGTAAAATCGATTTATTTTCACATATCTGTTTATTATAAACAGTATAGTTACTTCTATATTAAATTTTGTTTTAGTATTGCATATGGAATACATTATGGTTGGGGTGGAATATATTCATGATATGTTTCTATCTCAATGTGGGTATACTGGATAAAGTAAGTATTAAGTATTTATATAATTTTATGACATCTTTAATTGAATTTTAATTACAATTAAAACTTTTCAGAATAGTGATATTTTAAATCTTGGTACTGGTAGCTTTTCTTGGTGGCATGTCAATGGACCAGGTTGCAAAGCTATTTATGATGTTACTGAACCAGAATTATTTAGACCAGCCCGGCCTACAAATGTGACGGATTGCGTGCTAGATTATGAAGTAGTTGAAATTTTACATGCATCTACTCAATGCATCTTAGGTGTAAGTATCATCAGCTTTATCTTTCTAGCAAAGTTATATTAATTATAGCATATAAAACAATGTTTCTTCTGTTTTAGTTTATTGCAATAGTGGGTGGTATTTGTCTAAGTAAAGTTTTCCTAGAAGAGGATGATAGCTGTAAGTATACAAACCAAGGACTCTTGTTTTAATTAGTGCCAGTGTCAAATTAATTAGTTTATAAGAATTATTTTGTGCAGAGTGAATTGTTTTACATTTTATCTTTAGCGATAAATTTGAATATTTTATTCTGATGCCGCTACATGCGGTCTAAAGAATATTTCCAAAATTTATTATTTTTATAAATCCAAAAAGGAAAAAAAGGGTGCAATGATAAATCTTTTTATGGTACAAAACAACATATCTTACTATGGAAGAGAATTCTGGTAAATCGTCCTGGGTGTTTTTTTTTTAATTATGTAAGTTTAATATGTATTATTGCTTGAAAAGAGGGTTGTCGGTTACAGTTGATTTCATTGGTGGATTTGATCCTCCACTTTGGTAAGTGCTTTGCCTGTTTCATGGTTTGCACGCATTTGCTCCTTTTGTAAAGCACGAAGTAAAATGGTTTCTCTCATGCGCACCGGTTTTTCTTATTATTCATTGAATCTCTTGCGAATGTTCAATGTACTGTGAAATAACATTTTTGGAGCTTGAGTATTACGCGAATTCGTATCTGAATCGTTGATATAGCATGTATCCTTTGCAAAGAGATATATTATTATAACATTGGCTATATTCAAATGAAACATAATCGTATACTATTTATGTTAATTCTATTCAAAACGAATCACTACGTTCACGCCACACATACACTATAAAATTCGATCTAATGCAATCGATTCTACGTCATATTTCAGTTGACTTTGTGGGAGGTGATGACTTTGGGTCGGCAGGCCACACGCCGTTGCGTCCTATGTACGTTAGCTACTCGGCTCTTCCATCACCTGCCCACCCTCACAAAAATTCCGCTCAAAATTACCCCGCAGGCACAGCTAGCTCTCATCAATCCGTTTGTCACGATACCAGCTTCCCAAAACATAACGATAAAACGTTTAACAGCTCTGGACGGAGCAAATGTAGTTTCAGAAACGACACGATCAGAACTGAACGAAGCAATCTATCTTGTCGCGACTTAAAGTATGTTGATTACTCAAACGACTATTCGAACCCGTTGGATCATTTGCAGAGGCCCGTGTCTCCGTATGATGAATACGATTCATTGGACAGTGCCGCAAAATTGAAGTATCAGAAAAATAAATTGTACTATCCGCACTCGTCTAAATATAGTCCTGTTGCATCACCGCGTGTCAAATCTCGCCCTGCCGCTGCAAAACAAAGTAAAGCCTCCAACAAACCTAGAGTCTTTACCGATCACGTTCGCGAACAGTCGATGAGGTCGTTTTATTCTGATCCAAGATTGGCAATTGAAAGTCAACAGAACGTGAATGACCAAGAGAAGCAGAATAGGTCTAAAAGAGACAGTAGACCTTTGTCGTTGTATGCCAGTAATTTTTAGATTGTTAGAAATTAGAAAAATATATAGAGTTATTTCTAGCTTAATCCATTCGAGGCCGGGGTCTCATTGTAAGACTCATTGAAGCTGGTACCATTTTAAAGTTTCAACAGCCTTTTAAATGAATAATGATAACTTTCTTAATCATTCTTGAGGTACTGATCTGTGTTAATTTCTCTTTAAAATATACATTGTTTGTTATCGGTTGTTTTAGTTTTATGGCATAGGACGCATACGGTGTGTCGTCGGCCTCGAATTGATTAAAACAGCATATGGACTGAGGTTACATGTATTTTGATGCTATTTTGTAGAGAATTCAAAGGTGTAACATAGAATTCCTATCCTTGCCAAATAGATAGAATGATTAGAGAGTAGCTAGCTTAGGGTGCCTTCTCGGATTGATTGATTTTTTTTTTTTTAGTTTAAAGTGAATTTTTCTTAATCAGTTTTTAACATCACAGTAACTCGCTAATAATTTTTGCTACGTCTTTAAAGTATTTCGACTGATAACGCGGAAACGTGGAATAGATTACGTGTGTTCACTAGCATCGTTTGCTTTTGTGTTCATATTAATTTCTTTTTTATGAAGATGTTTATTTACTTTTGCTCATAGATATTTCGATATACAATTCATGTTGGATTAGACAACATGCATTTTTATATTGATACATGCACTGTGATACGTATAGAACTATGAATCATGTTGTTTAAAAATGTTTATTCGAGCTTTTATTATCGATTTTGTAACTTTGAAAAGTTATGCTTGATAGAACAGTTTTTAATATACGAGACGAAATGTTGCATCTTAAAGGGAACAAAGAGTACAGCATGAATGAGAAAAGAAGCCTATATTGTAAACGTTCACGAATGTTGTAGGATTGTTTGTACATTTTCTTTTTACAACGATATTTTTCTGTTATAAGAATGGTACTTGTTAAGAATTTCTTTGATGACACGCGTGGCCTGGCTTACGAGATAGCACTTTAACAGAAACCTTTAGACTGCATTGAAATTAGCTTGTTGTATAACGATGGTGAAGAACTTTTTGTTTATAAGGTGCTGCGAAACACTTTTTCATTTCAATGAACGTGTCTGAGTATTTGGTAGTGCATGCTAGTACTTGTTGTTACGGTTCTTAAATTCGACAGTATGTTTATATTTTATATCCTCCATTTTAAACAACGATCTAGCTACATTTTGCATATCCATGTAGATGAAAAGCATACGTGCAATGGAAAATTGTAAGATACCATACGGATTTCTTTAGAGTTTTTATTAAGTTACTACTTCTGACATTCCATGGATTCAGTTGATCAAAGGATGTCTGATATGTCGAAGTTGAAATGCAAAATCTGAAGTGACAAGAGAGCTGTTCAATCTTCTATAGACTGTGTATTTTAGTTATACAGAATGTTCTGTGAGTTGCAGATCAAGGCTCGTTGATAGATAACGTCCAATCAAATTTGACGAGTAAAAGATATTCGAAGAACCTATACTGCATTTTGGAATCAGACGTTTGTCAAGTCAAGATACAAATTCCGTTTCAATCGTAAGAGTTGCTTACTCACCGGTAACTGTTTTCTTCAGCCAATGACGCATGATCATAAATTATGAATAAGCACAAAAATATCACTATTTCCGTTGATTTGATAGACACTTCGTGAATTTCTTAACGTTCGATGTCATACGTTGCGCATTATGATCGATAAATAAATATAGAATGCGAGTCGATAATAGACAATAATTATAACACAGGTACAAGCAATGCTTGCTGAATTGTGCAGGAAAAAATGTACTGGACAGATGACAGAATTTGGTTTTGCACTGTTGACTCGGAACTGCTAGTTACATAATTTTCAATGTTAAACGAGTATATAGAGGTGTACACGTGTCCTGTGCCTCTATCGCAATTACAGTGGTGTTGGTGTAGACAATAATTTTTCTCATCATATCTGATTGGACTTGAATTTGGCCTTGTTCACGACTTACAACACAGCCTGTGCGTTACTTAAGGTGTCTTATGTTAAGTATAATTCTTATTAAATATCGTTGCAAACGTTGCAATACTTATGTAGGGTACTTACTCGCACAATTATATTATTTACATTTATACCTTCAATCGGGTTCACTCGACTTATTTTTGCAAATATATTGCTCACTAAACGTATATTGTACATATATAATTACGTTTACGTACTTTACGTAATTTGTAAGAATAATAGAACGTTTCACCGTATTAGAGGATTTAGTCGAATTAAACGCCGGATAGGACATTTTCCATTAACGAGTCACTTCAGATTCATTGTTGAACGTGTTCGTAGTACAATCGAAGATTCTTTTATTTTTTCCTTCTTTTGTCGAAGCTTGTACAGTAGTGTCGTTGTGTACTTCGTTAAGGCCGTAGATTTTAGTTTTATAATTTATTTTACTGTATCATATAATTTACCTTTGGTGCAGTTCATTGGCGACAATAAACGTGCAATGCCTACTACTTGCTTGCTTTTTTATTTATTAACCCCCATTCTTTTCTTTCACTCCTTCTCTAACATTCTCCTATTCTTCTGTGGGTTTTCAGGGAACTATATAAATTTTTTTCGTTTTCGTTTTCGGTCTTTTCGTCTCTCAATTTATACTATCTTACTGTGGGATCACTTTCGAATCTAAAGTCTTCTCGCGATGATTTATCATTTGGTTGAACTAATAAATAGCAATTTCAAAGTCCCGAATTAAAAAATAAATCGACATTACTCGACCGTCCAATGCATTGGGAGCTCGTTCTTCATTATGCATGTAAGAAGTCGATTACTTCGATCGATCCTCTTATTTCTACAACACAAGATACGCGTTTAATACTTCAGTAACACGTTTGTCACTTGACTGAAAAGTTTGTGCTTAGTATACAGAAAATACGTCAATTGTAGAGAATATTGTATTTAATTCTTACTTCAGCGACCCTAAGAGGTCTACTAAATAGTCGATAAAATTTGGAGTAATAATAACTAGGGACCTGATACATAAATCGTACAATGACACTTTAATCGTCCACTAAATGTACCTAATCGTCCTGTTTAATATCCCATTCTAAGTCATCTCACGATTCGTCGAAAGTCGCTAATATTAATTCGTACTTAATTTATTCCAAGACTAACTACGGGTGTCGATTTATCAGTATCTAGGCACAAACTGATTAATTACTCCAATGGAGCATCTTCTGACAAAGCTTTCCGTTTGTTTCCGGCGCAGCCCAAGCTAAACGGAAGAAGAAGCAACCGCGACCTCTGTACAGTATCGAGTACTCTCAACCAGAGCCCACGGTTCACGACGATAGCGTATCTCCAAAGCCAATGACTCCTCGTAGAGTGAAGAGAAGATCGGTAATCTCTCGGGATGGAACAAGAAGGTCTAGCAGAAGAAGTTCCGTGAGACAGTCCCGCAGGAAGAACCCTGTGAACAGGATCATGGACCATCAAGAAAGTCTATATGCCAATACAGCACCCAGCAATCTTACCAACCAGAACGTGAACTCGTTGTCTCAAGGCACGCTCAACTATGATAGGATATCTATGAGTTGGGACAGAGATAGAAATTCAAATTGGCAGCCTGAAGCTGTGAATATGGCTGTGTCCTCTCCCACATTATGGAACCAAGATTCGTCAAACAATTATTCTAATACTAGTAATTATACAAACCAAAATTATCCCAACTGGGATGCTAGTAGCTCTACTAGGAATCTTACCGATAATTGGCAGCCAAGCGAATTGAGTCCAATGCAGTGGCAGGGTCAGAGCAATCCCACTTTCCAACAGACTAGTACGCAGAGCTTAAATGGGGAAGATTTGGACGAGATCTATAATAATCGACCAGCCAGTGCTAGGTCCAGTTATAGTAATTATCACGGGGTGAGGGCCACACCCCAGGTTCCCAATAGAACGGATATCGTTAGACAGAGCCAGAGACAGTTCGTTCTCAGTGGACCCCCTGCTTATCAGGACACGGTGATCTGAGAGGTTTAATAGAGGATTCGGAGACCTGCGTTTGGTGGATGTTTAGTTGTCGAGGATACCAATTCGATGGTGGTGTATTTTAATGCGTAATTTTTTAAATTGTGATAGTTTTATCGTAATACTTGGAAATAACGATAGATTCGGGTAGATTTGTTTAGATGTAAAACTGATGTATTTTAATTTCGTTCTTGGGAGGAAATTGATACTAAACGTTCAATGGAAACGTGGGCCGATTTTTTGATAACTTATAGTTACTATATTCTTATACTGTAATTGTTACTGTTAGGAAGCAGGAAGTATTTGTTACTTCTCTGATCGATCAAGCTTTACTCGAAAACGGGGATGCAATTCTCTGCATCTTGTTATACGTTACGACAGATACCTCTAAAGTTTATCAACTTTCAGAGAGATTTCGCGATACTTCACCGATCTCGTAGCGACGATCTACATTTCTAAGCTCCGCCTTTTTATCTCAGGACGTTCCCTCGCTTTTTTAACAAATATTTAAAAGTCGTGTTTCGTGCATTTTGCGATATATCTGAGTCGATAAGACTTTATCGCAGCTGCAATGTGGGACGATAAAAAGTTGTATCTTTTATACGAAAAATAGGATTCGTGCATCACTTGAAATAACATATTCGTTGTTCTACGATATCTTGAAATTTCTTTGTTCCACGATTTTTTAATTAACCACTCACAATTAACGCGATTATTTATAATACCTGACTGTTTCTCATCGATTTTCCCTCTGCGAGCCTTCAAAACGTACTTAAACGATATTTTAGAGAAATGTTCACTTTTCTATGCTGTATTTTCGAGAAACGAGATTTCGCGACGCGTCATTCGTGTCATAGTCTTCCAGGTGTCGAGGGGAAATTTATGTAGAAATGTGAATTGCTCGGTGACCAATCTAATAAAAAAGAATGTAAAAAATCGAGGAAACCAATTACGTTGGTCACTGGACGAATTCATAAATGTGTTTAAACGTTCTATGCATGAGAGGTGCAATAAGAGATATTTTTTCATGCGGAAAATCAAAATAGACTACGTCGATGATGATGGTGGGATGTGTGAAATGGAAACCAAAGTATTAAACATCGATGTAAGTTAATGATAATACTTGTAATATTCTGTGTAATGTAAAACTGCCTCAACTCTTTCGCCGACTGTCGTACAACATAGGTTTAATTAACTAGGCGATCAGCTTACGATCTAGGTACTTAATTTTTATTATTACTCGAGAATCTCAGAACGCTTGGTTCATCGATCACGTAGTTTCACGTTATTTAAAAATATTACACTCTTATTCGACGAATACGTTCTTACTTTCGTTTTGATTAAATGTTGTAATACTGTGTCGATGAACACGGTGTTGATTTTTTTTCTTTGGAAATTTTTGAGGTTAAGTTTGTGAAAGGTTTCTGTTGCTATACGGTTGTCTCTTTATTGGATTTTTTGATCGAGGCAATATCGAATATAAATGTTGGCGTTATTTTTATAGAATTTTTCGGTAGGATCTACCGTGATACTGTGCAGTGGAAAATACAAAGCAATCGGCAATTTTTGTCATAGTAAGAGATAGAAAATGAAGTATAACGGGATCAAAAATATCGGAGGAATTGATATCTTCGGTTTCATTTAGATATTTAAATTATTTTTGATTATCTTCCCTGTTAAGTTTTCATTGATAATATTTATTTAAGAATTTTATCAAATAACAATCTCTTTTTAAAATCTTCAAAAAGTATTATTAGTATCATGTTCTATAGTTATTACTATTAGGAGCGTAAGCTTATCTTAAAATTATCATTTCCTTCGCACGGTATTACAATTGTATAATTGTATTTTACCCTTTCCTTATGGAATATATCGTTAGACATGTTAAGTTTGTTTAAAGGGCAGCTACCTTTAATTAGTTACAGACTCGCGTCAGACTCAACGTCATCAGCTTGTACTTATTATACGATTCGTCGTCGTTTACTATTACCATTCACCATTGTACAATTGTAACACGAAGCAATAATTGAAAGACAATAAATGAGAAATAATTCAGACTCAATGGATGAGGTTCTATTCGTTAGCCTGATTTCATTAATCATATTTCTCTAAAAATATCGTTTTATTTCCAACGAAACTTGATGTCCTTTAAAAGATAACTGGCAGAACGAAACATAGTCTTTCAAAGGCTGCCAAGTTTTATCTAGATTAAAGGCTGACAACTGTCAACGATAAGTAAGGGGATTAAACGATATTCGTGTATTTAAATGGGTATTAATTTTAATACAAAGAAAACACATTCTTCAACCTCCATAATCTTTACTCGAACTTATCTCAGCATGTCAACTCTTTGAGTCCACCCCATTCACAGACTTTGACACAGAAGCTTCAATCTTCTCGAATCCACATTGCTCCTATTAGACCAACATTTCAAACAGGGTTAACAATCGTCCTACACTTTTCGAGCACCCTCTTCGAGCTAACTCCAGCAACCTCTATCCATCGAATCCTTCGTATGGAACCCGCGAAAAAACCAACGATCCAACTCGCACTAGCCCACTGACAATCGTCTCTATTCGCTCAGCAGCTACCAGACGAACGTTTTAGACTCGTGAATTTCACAATGCCGCGTCGAAGTCGCGCATGTGCCCTATTCGCCGGCTTCTTTCCCTGCTAGTAGAAGACCCTTTCTTGCCGCAGTACCTCGTTGTTGTCGGGACGTCGAGGGTCTCTCGCGTCGTCGTCTCTGAGAGTTCGTGTGTGCCGAGAACAGGATATCTTGTAACCCGAATATTCCTTCGCAGTGACGAGTGAACTGTGAGGCGATCGTCAGGAGCGTGAGGATGCTGAAGATCGTCAAGGCTAGCTCGAACGGACTCAGAAGATTGCACGCAAGCAATAAGGTGCGAGGAGCCGCAAGGATCTGCCAGAGAATCTGAGGGAATCTGTTCGTTGGATTTATTGATTAGGTGGTTCGCTGGCGGTTTGCCTGATGCTTGTGCTTTTCGGGTTGGCACGAGGACGTTCCATTGATTCTTTCGCAGATTTAGGGGTCTATGGAGAATTAGACGAGAGGTTATCCCAAAGATTGCCAACTTGGCAACTGTTAGCAAAGAATTTCGAATTATTTTCGAAGGGATAACGTAAAGGATGTTGAGGGATCGTTATACGTTAGAAGATGAAGGAGTTTATTAGCCGAATTTGGTATGTAATGAAAATATTCAGAGATTTCTGAGGGATTAGAGGATTCGTTGATTAGACCTTGATTCAGTGTCGAGACTCTTCTGACCTCGAAGAAGAATCGTCGCTGATTGATCAATCAACAGCTGCAGCTCAGATGTTATTCGATGAAACGAACGTCCAGATGAAAAAGTGCAATGGAAATTATAATTTCTCGCGTGCTAAGATCTTCTTTTAAGTTAAGGTATATTCCTTTAGCAAGATACCTGGGGATTATTCGGATTATTCGAAACGTAATCGTTATCCCGACGTTTCCTGATGTTTATGACGGTATTTCGTTTAATTTCGTGAATATTTGCCGAAAATAATGTTCTCTTGTGATTAAACCTAGTACGAGAGCAAAATGTATCGATTTCAGGCAAGGATTTAACTCTGTACATCCGCAGCGTGCCCACGTGGGTGGCGACAATGGCCCATTTCAGCGACAAAAATACTTGGACGCGACTAGTTCTAGTGCACGCGTTCGAATTAGACGATATTAACGTTTCTGCACGGTAAATTACTGTTAATGATCGTTACCATGCTGATTTATATCCGATATCTCTTATCCTTTGTATTATTTAACTTGAAATTACTCGCATGCAACCGAAAGTCGCGTGAAATTCATGGGGGTAGTTGATAGTATCGCGAAACAATACAGAAGAATTAAAAGTGTCGGAATAATGACAGAAAACAGCAAATTTCTCTGCAAATAATTTTTTTCCTGTAATTTGAATTTTATATATTATACAATTTAAATATTTATCCATATTTATTTAATTTCCGATGATATTCGTGCGTATGAATGAACATCATTTGTATTAGATCTCTATTGCAATACTTTCTGGAGTGGGTCGTGATTTCATACCTAATCTCAAAAAGATCGGATGAAAATTCGGTGAGAAAATATGGGTCAAGTGTCAAGTAGGAAAAACAATCGTCAGCTTTTCTTTTCGTTTTCGTTTTCGTTCACGCAAGTCCTGCTGATCCGAATTAAGGGTACACGTGACAGGTTTCGGCTTAGGGCTACAGGGGTTGATTCATCGAAGGATCAATACAGAATTGCTTGGCAACCAACGCACTTCACCCTTCGCATGTTTTACCAACTCGAAATTCATTCATAGATCGTTGAACCAGTTTCTAGTAAGCGGAACTGTCCATTTTTCTTCTTATTTCGATTCTTTTATGTCTGAGGAGTGAATAGAGGATCGTTTCCTGGTCTCACGGGGAAGGTTGTTGAGAGACGAATTTGTATAACCGAATGTGAAAAAATTTCGAAAAACCTTTCGGTATCTTCCTGTCAATTTAAATTATTCGAAACGCTAAGAATAATTTATGAATAATCGTTACCAAATGAAATGAAATTAATAAGGGCGTTTTATAAAAGCGTTTAAGCGAAGTATAATTACCATAGGTGGTTATCGCAATAATTTAAAGGAAAATATAGGAATCTCGAACGAAATACAAATGGCGAAGGAATTAATTCGAAAAACGTTTCAGTATTTTCCTGTTAATTTAAATTATTCGTAATAATAAAAATAAATTATGAATAATCGTTAGTATTAATGAAATATTAATAAGGGCGCTTTATAAAAGCATTTAAGCGAAGTATAATTACCATAGGTGGTTATCGCGATAATTTAAAGGCAAACATAAGAATCTCGAACGAAATACAAATGGCGAAGGAATTAATTGGAAAAACGTTTTAGTATTTTCCTGCCAATTTAAATTATTCGAAACGATAAGAATAATTTATGAATAATCGTTACCAAATGAAATGAAATTAATAAGGGCGTTTTATAAAAGCGTTTAAGCGAAGTATAATTACCCTAGGTGCTTATCGCGATAATTTAAATGGAAACATAGAAATCTCGAATGAAATACGAATAACAATGGAATTAAGTAATATTCCAGATCATTTTCCAGACAAATCTGCTACATTAAACAATAATGTTTTTGTAAAATGTCTATTCCTACTAATTTTTACTCTATTTCAGAGACGAGCAGCAGTACCTGCGTCGACGAAGTTGGGAACTGTCAAGTACCTGGACGCCGCTTTTGGAAGTGCCTTAGAATTAGAACGAGCGCAGACACGGTAATTATACCATCTCCTATTATTATCCCCGCTTCGATTCTTACAAAACCCGTCAACTATTGATTAACCAGCCACCGATTGCCCGTAAACTTCAATTATGGTGCACTCGGAGATGCATCTGTGTTAATATTAACATCGAACGGCGCGATTATGATGTACCGACGTCGATCTAATTATTCCACTTCAAGGAACGCGCGTTCTCGTTATTTATTCTTTACCACGAAGCTGCCAAGCGATACGACCCGACAGGTGTTTCGTTTAATCGTGCAAGACGATCCGTAATCACGCGTACGCTCTTGAATTTCGCATACCATCGACCGCGAGAGAAACATTGCGACGTTGGATCGTGTTCTGAGAAAATGTCAGATCTCGCAAGGCGTAACGACGAAGATCCGTGTAGATACGATTTACATAACTCGTGCTTGAAATTCTAGTCTAGCCTAATCGACTTGTCTTTCGAAGTTTGCGACTCGATACGAATCTTGCTTCCCCGACTTCCGAAATTCGGAGGTCCTCGCTAATCTCTGTCAATTATTCACTTGCCTGGAATCGCTGGTTTCAACGCGATCGATCGTAGCATGTAGGGAACATATCAGCATGTTAAGTAGCGCAATGGAACAGTCTCGATTACATAACCCAGCCAACGAACGAAGTCACCTCAGCTGAACCATGCCAATGGCTACAATAGTCCTGGCAGATGTTTGCTCATTTCGTTCGTTTAGATGAAAAGAAAAGGTGATCATTTCTCGTAACAATGAAGAAATAGATCCATACTATTAAGTGGAACACAATGGAGAACCAATAAATCCTGAGTAATCGATACTGACGGTTCTCAATCGCTGTCATATGCAGGATTATCAATTATCTTCGCACAAAGGGGAAGAAGCTGCGGTTATACCGCCATTCAGTCTGTCGATTCTTCGCAGTTTCGATCGACTTCCATCTCCAAGTGGGATAATTCGCGTCATTCGTATTTTCCAGTGAATTAGAAAATTATTTTCCATCATATTCCCTCGTCTCACGACGATTATCCTATTTTCCTCTCTTTGGTAATTAATTTCTTCTTCCTGATCTTTCTTTCCGAGCCTCTGCTGTGTCGATGTGCATACCGGGAAGATTGCATCGATTCTTAATTGAGAACCATCGATCTTCAAAGACCCGACCCCATAGGTTGCAATTTATTGCCTGAACGTCACTGTTCTCTATTTAAATGCGTCCAAAGGATGTCCCTTCGTTCTCCAGAACTTTGCTCGACTTTCGAGGAACTCGCGCAGAGGAGTGCCTCGTGTTTCAAGTAGACGTAGATAAGAATAGAGTTGGATCAAGCTCCTCGTTGGACGATGAACGATTAGTGTTCGATCGATCGCTTTTCACATCGAGGGTGGAGTATAATGGACAGCTTTGACTTCAGCGAACCATTCGTCGATGATTTTACCGACTTTCACGTGTCGTATCTACGGTAAGAACTGTAAAATTCACCTATATTTCCATGTCACCCTCCTTGGTGAAAAATTTAATGCCTTTATCTCGAGAGCAGTTGAACGTTACAAAGTCCCAGGGACTCTGTTTGACAAACCAACAACGAAGATTCTTATTTGCCGTCAATTTTGCGCGAAACTCTTTGTGCCATCGGCTTTAAATTAAATTAAAGGTCTCTTGTCGCTGTTGAACAGGCGACCATCATCCTGGAAGCTCGAGCGGGTCTAATTGGACCTAATCAGCTGTTTACCCCAGGCGTGATTTATCGTGTAACACTCGGTGTTACTACGGAAATCGTATGTTCGCCTCGTATGGTAATGGACCCGATACCTGTCAGCAGGAGCAGCAGACGAATAAAATAATTATTTGAAATTAGAGCTTGCCCCAAAAAATTTATTCAACGGTGGCAATATTCTTCGGACCCTCGAGAATGCACCTGGTCGTTAATTGCGTGAAAAATATTAAGACACAGTGCAAATATGAAGATACGAATTACAGTATTAGAAGAGCAAAGAAAAGAGATGGGGGGTTATGACGCTCTGTTTGCAGTTATGCAATTCCTCGACATCTCGATTTACCGAAGCTGTTTACCCTGGAATATGCTCGAACGACTCCCGTGAATTTTTCGCTATTTTCGGAACAGATTTTCCTTCTGTTCGAGTGGGGTCGTCGCTCATTTTTCCAAGCTGATATAAACCCGTGTTTTCCGCTTGTGTCGCACACACGAGCCGGATAAAGGTCGTGGAGGAAGAACCGTGAGTGAATCCCCTAAATATTCGAACTCCCGTCGAGATTATAGAATTGGACCCTTTTAAATAATTGGAACCGTGTTTTCTGTGACTCCCGTGCGTAATGTGTCGATTAATTGGAAATAGCAAAATTTCATTCCCGAAATTTGAATAATCGATTAAAAAGGGAACAAAGGGAAATAATTCCTTAAAAAATTTCGAATTGCAAACTTCTCGAAGGAAGAGTAAATTAGTTAATTTCTAATTTGAATTAAATTAGTATTTTTAATAATAATAATAATAATACTTTATTAACGGACAGAAGTCCTTCGGTATACAATAAAAATAGTAATTTTTGGTATACGATAAAAATAGTAATTTTTAATTAAATTCTGAATTGCTTTGCATTAATATCGCGAGATGAAGGAAACGGATCAGAGCATCGTTATGCCTTGCATAGCACTGAACGAAAAGTATCCGCCTGAAAATGAGAACTCGAGTTTGGTGCCGATGGACAGCTTCGTCGATTCTGAATATTATTCTATCAGAACGAAAATCACGTGTGGGATCTGGTTAGAAAAGAAGGGTGAGGTTTCCAGAAGGATGTTGGCGCGTTTTCTTAGGTAAAAATCGTCACTCTTTTTAACTGATCTCTTATTCTTCTTCTGTTTTTGCAGCGAGTACAGCTTCATTCATGACAGCCATTACATGTAGTGAGTACTGTGCATCTATGCTGTTATCGATTATTGCATGGTGCAACGAGTGAAGCGTGTTAAATTATTTATTTGCAAATTTTCTTTCAACTTTTTTCTTAGATATATTTTCCTTCCGAGAAATTTATTTTATAGGTGTCATTAACCGAAACATTTTCTTAGACTTCCTCGAGTTGGTAGAACTGGTTACGGACTTCAGGTTTTGTAATACATATCGATGGGGTTGCGACAAATAGACGTGACTGTCACCTGAGAAATTTGACGAGAAATCCTTAAAGCTATTGCATCGTGTAACAATATTTTCTCCGAATACGCTGTCATTTCTGATATATTTTTGTGAAACATTTTATTGTCAATCTTCTCTCCACTCACGACGAACGATGTCACTGATCTAATTTATTTTCCAAGGAAGCAAAACCTTGGTAATGAGTTACGTCATTAAGCGAACGACGTAACTCGATTAACGTCAGATGGACATCGTCAGTCAGCTGTCAATGATGATACAGCTCTGACTAAATTTAGCTTTCCGCGCTAGAAATTTCTCACAGAGATTCGAGTTGTGGTCTACGATCTCGTCCCGTCGTGCATAAAGAATATTGGCATGAAACCTGGTATACACGTACGATTTGCTAGCAGATGTACAATGTGATAGTCATGCATGACAGTAGTAAATCATGTTTCTCACCTCTCCACGCGTTAGAACTGATAGAATTAAAAATAAATCCTATAAACAGTATGAAGTCATCACTTTGGCAGAAAGATAAATTGCATGTCACGCGGAAAAAATATAATTAGAATGATTCATAATTGTTGTCTTGTTATATTTACTCTGTATAATAAATTGCACTAATGTAGTTTGGAAAGCGAGCGATTTGAATAAAGCACCTTTATCTGGTTTCTACCCCTATCTTGGAAATTTTCTTCTACGTTGATATATAATTTAACGAAGCTACGCAAGCGTTAAATAAATATTTATTCGATATATTTGTTCGATTATTCCAGTACTAGGGATCAAGATCAGGCGACGAACGCCGAGGATGTGCTCTTTGACATGTTTAAGGACGAAGACACAGGCCTCCTAGCAGTGGGAAAATTCCTGGCCGTGAGTATTTATTCATTTTACCTTTCAACTAGCCAAGATTTCACTCCAAGAATCCTTCTTACCACTCCACGTTTCTTATTATCTTATTTTTCGCGCGCTTTCAGGCTCTGAGGACCACCGGCTTGCGAAACGACGACCCTAGACTTCAAGAATTCACGGATAATCTGCGGAAGGAGCACTTGAAGACTGGAGGTTACGAGGGTGTTTCTCACGAGACGCAAAAGTTAAACAGAGAGCAATTCAGGAGGTAATTTTCACGAAGAATTAACACGGTTCCCGCTAACTTCTGTCAAAAGTTTCGAATTCGTGCAATATATATTGAAAAATTGTCAACTCGTACTCTGTTGCAGAATTATTAACCCGAACATAATACTGATCTCGCGGGCATTCAGGCATCAATTCATCATCCCTGACTGGTCTGGCTTCACCAAGCACATAGAAGACTTCTACTGGAAATGCAAGTCGAACTCGGAGGGCAAGGTCGCCTCGTACATACCACAGTTAGCACGAATGAATCCAGATTATTGGGGCGTTTCCGTCTGCACGATCGATGGCCAGAGATTCAGCATCGGTGACAGCTCGATCCCATTCACGTTACAGAGTTGCAGCAAACCTCTGACTTACGCCATCGCTTTGGATAGATTGGGACAGGAAGTGGTCCATCAGTATGTCGGCCAAGAACCTTCTGGAAGAAACTTCAACGAGCTGGTGTTGGATTACAACAGTGAGCTTTAGACTGTTAGACCTTAGACTATTTATAAGCTATAGATTTTCCATGTGCCCTGTGTGCATTTTGTAATTGTCCAACTATCTTTTGCTGTTTTGAAATATTCTTCTGTCAACTTCTCTCACAACTTTTAGCTTCCACTGCTATTGTTTTACGTATTCGAGGTGTTCGCTTTGGCATTTTTATAGCAAAGAGAGACTAAGCGAATAAATTCACGACTCTTTACAGAGAAACCCCATAATCCAATGATCAACGCTGGAGCAATCCTAGTGTGTTCACTGTTGAAGTCTCTAATCAAACCTGAAATGACTTTAGCCGAAAAATTCGACTTCACTATGGATTATTTCAAAAGACTAGCAGGCGAAGAGAACCTGGGCTTCAACAATGCTGTCTTCTTGTCCGAACGGGAAGCTGCTGACAGAAATTACGCGCTTGGATTCTACATGAGAGAGCACAATTGTTACCCAGACAAGTCGAACCTGAGAGAAATCATGGATTTCTATTTCCAGGTAAATTCTTTCCACTTTTCATTCGTTATTGCTTATTAAAGAAGACATTTGCATCGTTAAGGAACCGTCTAAATGATAGTTTTCTTGCAAAGTGTTGTTCCATGGAGGCAAACTGCGACACGATGTCTGTCATGGCGGCCACTCTGGCCAACGGTGGCATCTGTCCGATCACCGAGGAAAAGGTTCTTAAGCCTGACAGCGTTCGAGATGTCCTAAGTCTAATGCACAGCTGTGGAATGTACGATTACAGTGGCCAGTTTGCGTTCAAAGTAATTTTCTACCATTTTTGAAATACTCCTCGTCGATTGGCATTAAGTGGAAATCGTATATTGACAACAGGTTGGCATCCCAGCGAAGTCTGGAGTATCGGGAAGCCTGCTAGTAGTGATACCAAATGTGATGGGCATCTGTACATGGTCCCCGCCATTGGATCCCCTGGGAAATTCCTGCAGAGGCGTCCAATTCTGTGAGGAACTCGTATCCGAGTTCAATTTCCATAGGTACGCATGCTATCCATCGTCTTAGCGTGCTTGCATAGATGCAACTGACACTTTTAGTTATTTTTCGCACACTAACGATCACAAGAGAAACAATGTGTTAGTTTTTGCAAAAGAAAATAGAGAATGATATTAGATGCGAACACACGAAACTTAGAGATGTCCAATCGATCCACTTAGTTGTCTCAATTCTCTCGATTACTCTTGATATAAAATAGCTATTTTCGAACCTCGAGATCAGTGATAACACACATTAATCAAACTGTTTGTTCTCCTTCCTTTGCTTTTCTCACAACCCTCGCTACACACAACCTTGCACGAACATACCGAATCCGAACAAACACGCTCTGCCTATTACTCTCTTCTTTACATCATCTATGTTCATTGGTATCCCGTCGTTTTCCATCCCGTCCCGATTAGTGTAGCACCTACTATGATCACAGGTACGACAACCTGAAGCACGCGACTAACAAAAAGGACCCGAGAAGGCACAAGTACGAGACCAAAGGGCTGTCTATTGTCAATCTCCTCTTCAGCGCGGCTAGTGGCGATGTCACGGCGATGAGAAGGTTAACTTTAATACAATTCTTTCATTATTAACATCAGCTTTGGTACTCTCCAGACGTATTTTAAGAATTTATTTTTGACATCTAAGAATTCCCTAATTCGTGCAATGATACAGATGTAAATCTTGTGATTCCAGTTGTTTCGATATAGGCCACTGATTTGTAAGATTATTCTTACTATAATATAGTTAATGGATATTCTAGTTTGCATAGAGAAATTAGTAAATAGGACTGTCAATTATATAGATGCGTAGATTGGTGCATTTTATTAATTTAACCGTAATTTCAGGCATCGATTGAGCGGAATGGACATGACACTGCCGGATTATGATGGCAGAACAGCTTTGCACTTAGCTGCCAGCGAGGGGCACCTAGATTGCGTCGAATTTCTCATCGAGCAATGCGGAGTGCCTCACGAACCTAAGGACAGGTAAATTTCATTGTATATAACGTTAGTTTTTCTTCCAACGATCTATATCTGACGAACCAATGGACAAATCTGTAATAAAATATCAAATAAGTAGCAATTTTTGAAAAAGATATTGGATTTTTAGATGGGGTAAGAGGCCCATCGATGAAGCAGAGACATTCGGGCACATGGAAGTGGTGGAATACTTGAAGAACTATGCCATAGCCCGGAAAACGGAAATAGAGAACGAAGAAAAAGAGAATAATGGTAACGGGGATTCTTTTCGGGGAAAAGTCGCGGAGTCCGCGGTTCAAACACCGTTGCCATAAGACCTATGGCGTCTTTAGATAGGATATTTTTCATGGAAAAATACGCGGTATGATGATTGACTAGAGAAAAAAGAAAAGAAGAGGAATATACGTGGCTTGATTCTACAAAAAGACAACAGAGGGATCTCAAAATGATAATGAATCGATTATTTTCCTACGAAAACGTACCTTTGCGGCTGATTTAGTTCTTCACCATTAGTAATCGAATTATAGCCTACAATGAATCTCCTGTAATCATGCTGTTACCTCTAGGCACTGTAAATTGTACTTATAGACGTTTCTTCTGTTTTTGTATCTTAATTCTTTGACTTTTGAACGAATGTGCATGTATGTTTATCGACTCCGGAAAGCGTACGGATGGTTTCTTTAGCACACTGCGAGCTGTCATAGTTGTTCTTTTCTGTTTGCCTCTTTTTATCAGCAAAATATGATTCTTGTGGCATTTTTAGCGTAGAAAATGTATTATTTTAGGAAATAGCATGAGTTTAAGTGACAAAAGGCTAGCCAGTATATTCAGGGTAATTTTACAGTATTATTTACGTGATTTAGTTCGTACTTATTATAAGGAACAATTTGTGGCTTCTTTTGTAATGTACTTACACGTAGGTGCTATGCGTTTAGGTACTAATAAGGAATCTGAGTGTCTGTACGAGGAAAGAAACGTGTACCTATGAATGATTTTTCGAATAAGCAGCATTTCGTTTATTTACGCGATACTCGTTCCTATTTGTCCATCGATAGAAGGGTAAAGCATTCTAATTTACGAATACACGAATCGATCGATGGAGACAATTCAGATACGTTCGCACATGTTGACGTTCGATCCTCGAGGCCAGCCCGTTATCGCGAAGTGGAGGAACGCGTGTATACCAAATGCGAAAGCCAAATGTCGACTGTTTCGACTACGTTATGCCAAAACGATCAAACGTGGTCGAATATGTAATTTCGTGCACGTGTGCATGCCTCTTTCGCCTGCGACTGGTATTCCGATATTCGATTTCTTTTTTCAGTCTTTTCCTCAAGAACAAATTATTGTTTAGAGTCGATGCAATATTTTCTAATATATCGATGTTCCGAGATTCTGATAAAGTGACGTTGTTATTTTTGTTAACGATCAAGGTAGTAGAGAATAAGAGTTGTAACAGCGATTCATCACCGTTGCGATTTCGCATTAACGATACCGCGCGATTCGACTGATTTACATTTCTAATACCAAGAACACACGCTTCTATTCGTTGTACAATTAGACATGCAAATCAACAGAATCGCACGAGGTGACCGATGTGAATTCGCAACGATTGTTCGTGTTCTTGATGTAGATCCGGATTTTCATTTCCAAGTCAATAAATACTTCGCAATCGTATTCTATTTTCATAAAGTTTCTCTTAAAAATGATTCATCTTCGGAAACTGTGATTCTCCGTATCCTATGTATAATATTAATCGAGGTTACAGGGATCGTAAACCTGTAATAGACGAAGAGAAAACCGCGATGGAGGTTCCGGAAGCGTCTTCTGTTTCCTGCGCGGGTGATACCTTTCCGCTTTCTCTTCGTTCAATTAATTCGACCCTTTATTTGGCAAAGTGGAAATCCAGCAAACTGATATTTCTTGCCTCCCAGAGATGTCCATTTTTCACTGAATTATCCGCTTGCAACGATCCGTTAGCGTTCGAATTGCCGAGTAAGGGGTATGTTAGTCTCGTGCTTTGTCAATTACCTCGAAACCAGCCTTAATGTCGATGAGAGAGTGATCATTGTACGAAATAAGGACTTACCTAGCTTTATTTCGAGCGATTCTTAAGCGTTTCGTGAGCAAGAGTACGGAAATATCGAAATCACGAAGGAAGCACATGCTTCGTGAAGAACAGGGATATCGTCTGGTTCGAATCTTTCACTTGAAAATGGAATTTTCACGTTAGCAAAGATTCTCTAGATGGAAGACATATCGTTCTAAGTGCGTGTTCAAATTGAGAGCTTGTTCTGTGATTCTTGTCGATTGCGTGTTTCCTTGTCGAAGAAGAATCGTTGAAAAATTTCTATTTTATTCTGGTTTACTTTTTACGAATTATACTACCATTTTGGAGCAAAACATCTTTAAGTCTCGTATTAAATTCAGACTAAAATTTTGGTTTATATAGCATATTAGTATCGTTCACCTGATTTGCAATAAAACTGATTAAAACCACGAACGTTGAGGCTCCCCATATTTGCCATATTGGTTTCTATTATAGTACTATCTAAGCTTAGAAATTTCTAGACAATTGCACCAGGAAAAAAAGGAAAGAAATACAAGAGGAGGAGGAATCTATATAAGAGAACGTTCTAAGTAAAGAAGAAGTTTTTCTCTGACTCTTTTAGGAATTGTTAGTAATTTAAGGGACTATCGTTACTTATTAAGTGTTAAAGAAAAATTATGTTCAAAAATTAGATTAGCGAAGACACGTACAATGAACGTCAATTATTTCCGTCTAAATTAATCAGAATCGTAGGAAAAGGAATAAGATGAATTCATTCAGAAAAACAAGGAACAATTAATATTTCGATTATCTGATATATAATAGAATATTCTTCCAATGGACAAAAGACAATAATGATATATAATGTTTTTTATTTGAATTTATCCAAAGCTGACTTTTAATTAACCATCCTGCTCTTATCAGACTTCTTATGAATTAAATATCCACTTCGTAAATTATAATTAATTTAACCAACAGCTGTGGTATCGAAGAATATTTCATTTAGAATTAAGGAAATTATTTTACTTTAATTTTACATCAGATTTAACGAAATTATTATAAAATACATCTGACATTTCATATAACATTGTACTGATAGCATCGTAAGTTCAGATATAAGAAGACAATAACTTTCACTGATACAATCATGATGCCGTTCAATAATGATCGTCCGTATCGTACCTTATCTTCTTATCTTCATAACAGATGTATGAGTTGTTTGCGTTTGTCCTTTGTAGGAATGTTTTACACTGCGTTAATTTGCAATGTATAGTACAGGTTTAATGAAGAAGAGTTGGGAAAACTTGTAATTTATTAAGGATCACCGTTTCTTCAGGGAGAAATTATTTTAGAAATAAGTCGTACATCTCTATCGTTGTACTTAAATTGCTTGTGAAATAAATATTTCAAGTACATGTTACATGTCCTCCTTCCTCGTCTGTTCAAATGCAATTTCAAGTACAATATTGGATTAATTAATAAAATCAAGATAAGGGTAGCATCTGTTAAATTCATTAAATTGTATAAAAACACTTTCGAAATTGTTCAAATTTTTATCAAGGTAGAAATACGTACCAAAAAGTATTTTCAGATATTCAGAAAGTCACTACGTATTGTCGATAACGAAATAAATCAATCAGTTTACTACGTTCATTCATGAACGTTCGACGCGTATATGCGTGGTTCCCCCACCACGCGTTATTTCCCCCACGCCGTCTCGTACCTGCCGAACTCGACTTCGGGTCGGCTCGTAACTGCTGGTCGTCTTATTTGTTTTGTGACTGCGTGACCGAGAATACGCTACGTATAAGCTCCGTGAATCGGGCCGCGTGTATTTTCTGATCGATTTTCGATCTACCGCGAATAATCGTAATGTATTAAAATTGCGAACGATTTTCACACACGGTTTATAGAATTTTAAAAATTTAAAATAGTCTAAATTAGTTTAAGTTAATAATTTATGTAATTTAAGATGCCATTGGCGAAATCGCCGAGAGATGTAAACCTAGAATACTTCGATATAGAACTAATTGTAAGATGATCTATAGTGGAAGATGCAGGCTTCAAATATAGTTTAAAGATTAGATTTAATACAAAAATTGTGTAAAACTTATTGAGGTGGCTAGATTACTTTTAAATAAAAGTCAGAAATACTACAGGGTCCGATAATTGGGGTTGTTATATTCTTCTTTAGATTAAAATCATGAATTATGTCTCATATATATTAATTGTTTCCATCTCTGAGTATTTAAAGAAAATACTCGTTTCAATTGCAGATTGATAACTCCGTTCTGGTTATGTTGACATTAGTATTATAATAGTACTTTTTCCGCAGTACGTGACAAATCATTTACTATTTCATTCTCATATAACTTATTAAACTCCGTTCAATAACATCGTGGCATTGAGGACCAATGCTACACTACTGTCAACACATATCCAATCAGCTGTTTCTGTTTCGTTTCTGGTAGTATCATATCCGTCAGATCGTCGTAAGTCTTGTGTCTGCTTTCATTCTTGCTTGAAAGTCAGTTTCGGAATAAAATTTGGTTATGACAACGTATATTAATCAGTATACGCATATAACGATAGTGCTAAAACGTAGCTACTAAAGCAGTTTCGATGAAAAGGTCGCTGAGATAAACGTCTAACCTCACTTTTCAGCCGCTAGATCGCATAACCATGTAAATCACCGAAAGCATTCCAATGTATCATTTAAATCCACTCTACGGCGCGGAAAATGCATCCTGGTTCTTTTCTGCGAAATATCGGAACGTTTTAAGTTATTCTTTTCGTATTTTTCTCAATGAGGTTTATCGCGAAATCAGGTTGCTGCAGTACTCTCAAAAACTTGTAGTACCAGTGCTAGGAGTTGATTTCTCCAGTAATTATAATATAGTACGATGACCGAAAAATCAAGGAAGATAGTAACTAGATTTCACCCGGTTCACGGGGAGAATATTAGGCTTTGCGAAGATAATACAGTGGCATATCGCACGACCAGTTTTGCAAACTCTCTAGCCTTCAGCGAAAAACCACTGCAACCAGGTGAAATATTCTTGGTAGAGATCGAGAACACAGAAGAAGGATGGAGTGGACACATGAGGCTGGGACTTACTCTTATAGATCCTGCCTCAGCCAGTCTGCCGCAATATGGTATGCCTAATCTAGCTAAGCTTGGAAATACATGGATATTTGCTATTACCAAGAGCCATACCATATGGGGTAATCTTGGAATCTATGGTAAAGACTTAGAACTATGATCTATATGATTTCTAATTCTATTTGCAAAGTTTATATTAATATATATTATATATATATATATATTTTTAGGTGGAGGAGTACCACCTGGAGAGAAGAAATTAATCACAGATGGTGTAAATGTGCAAACTTCTCGTGGAGTTATTCCATTTAATGCTCTAAGACCAAACACAATTGATTCTTCTCAATATATCTTACCTACTGATGCTGGTAGTCGTATTGGAATTATGTATGTGCCGCAATCTGGTTCCGACAAAGCAGAAATGCATTTCATAATTAATGGTGAAGACCAAGGTGTATGTGGGAAAGACATACCATACAAGGCAGGACCTTTGCGTGCTGTAGTAGAAGTATATGGTAACACGAAACAAGTCAGGATAGTTCAGCTATATGGTGGTATGTTTCTTATCCCTCTTAAATACAATATCTTCAAAAAACTTTAATTTTTTTTTTTAATAATTATATGTTTCAGCAGTATCTACCCTACAAAGTGCCTGCCGTGATGCTATACTACAATATACTAAAAGGAACGCAATTGATTCGCTTCCACTTCCGCGGGTTCTAAAAGATTATCTATTATATCAGTCACAATGAAATTCACGTCATTCCACCTTGTTTCTTGATCGTATCTCTCGTCTCCTTTGTATAACCATTTCAATACTCGCATAATTTCTTTAACAATTCAATTTTTCTGCAATATTTTGCAATACATTTATCGCGTAAATCATGCTTTCATTTATTCTAGTTACTTTATTCTAGGAAGCAAAATGAAAGTCTGTAAAATGAATTTAGAATTGCTTTCACTCTTCCAGCCGATTCTTTCATTTTTAATGTGTATAATTTATCATGTATGTAGTACATGTAATTCGCGTAAATGCTAAACTGTAATGTGTACATAATGTAAGAAGTTGTTGACGGAACACCGAGTAAGTTCTGATAAGCGAAGGAGCATAGTGTTTTCTAATTCCTGCATTTAGCACTTATTAGCGACTACACTTTTACAATTTTTCATTCTACCATTCGCTAGAATTATCCATATGTTTTATGCCGCAAGTAAATCTATATAAACTTCATCTAAAGTAAGTTTCACGCAGAACTATCGATGTATATCGTTCTTTTTCTATTGTTACATCTCATTGTACGTAACGATGACATTTTAAGATAAACTTGGTCGCACTGTTAACAAACGCAAAAATGGATCTGATTGACGTAGTCAATTAAATCCGACATGTTTTTCCAGAATAAATGTATTTATAAGAAAAACGTGATTCTTTAAAACACCTAATACTTCTTGTTTCTGCTATACATCACAAAAATACTATACACTCGTGACTAAATTATTTAATCAATACCATAATTGTATCAGAAATACTTTGCATTTATTTCACATTTTTTGACCTGTTTTTAATGCAAATTACAATTAAGAAACTGGTTTATAAATTAGATTTTAACGGAAAGGAACTTTTGTACCAGCTCGTTGGTAGAGAAACAATTAGTATTATTATATAAACGAATAAAACGCTTAAGAAAGCAAGCCATCCGATCAAAATAGAAGTGTATCTCCAGGTAAACTCTTTCTTATCGAGGGACATCAAATTTGTATTGTCATCTACGTTCATTTCGATTCTGGCCGATACTTTCGGATCCAAAATACTCACTAAAAATACTTGACCTACTCTGCTTTCCAAAATTGAAACTATGGTCGAGGATACCCACATTGGTGCTTCGTTGTTTAATTCTTCTAAATAACGCAAAGTACTAGTCAGTATCAGAGAGAATGCTGCTAAGACGAGAGATTTTTCATAGAACACAACTGAAAAAAGAAAAGCAAGGTAACATTGCTAATCTCGAGCACATACTTAAAGTAACAAATTTTAAGTTTCTCCAATATTATTTAGTTATTCCATTTTCCTTTCACTCGTCATCGTAGAAAATCAATGACTTACGCAGTTGTGGTGGATAGGCCCCATTGAAAGGAATCATCCAGTTCAATTCCAGTAGACAAAGAAGGTGCAAAACAAAATTCAAATTCGCTATTATCATACGCTCCATGGATTTCGGCTCTAACCACAGTACCATCAGTGTCGTCATCATTAAAGCTATATGCAAATATAAGATAATTCCCATTATGGTATATTCATTTATAATAATAAATAACATTTTACGAACCTATAGCGAAAGTCATGTATATTATACTATACATGGAGGATTTTCTTTTTATAAGAATGTTATAGGCTAACAAGTCGGTGGTAAAGCCTAAACCAAACTTGAAGTCAACTTCGTGTTTACTTTGAGAAATTTCCACTGTTTCCCACTCCAAATTTTTGTAGGGCGCATCCAGTAGAAGCTAAGAATTACTGTGTATCAGAATTTTCTAACATTCCATGAAGAATTCGAATAAATTAATCCATTAAATTACACGCCGTTAATATTTCGCAGCAATAAATTATACAATTGAGAGTTAGGAATAGATACACTTGCTGACATAAGTTAAGAAATAAACCAATCATTTGCGTTTGTATATTCTGTATCCTCTGGGATACGTATATTAAAATTAAAAAGAGCAAGAAGAGACATTTTATACAGTGATAAACGATCAATTTTTCCTATGTAATAAGTATAAACCATATTTCTAATTTTAATTCTCATATCTCAGGAGATAAATAATCGAAAGAAAAATATACAAAAATTATCAAATATACAAATTATTATTTCGTCGCTAACTCTTTGCCAGTAAATGTATAGAATCCTGAGGTGTCAAAGAGTCATGATAAGACAAGATTCGAAGATGCTGAATTTTTATACGCACTTCGGGTTCAAGTTTAAAATTTTTACTCCGCAAAGTTACTTCTTTGTTCGAATGTGACCACGAGGCGATATGTATGGAGCAGTTCATCATATCATAAGGCCACCAAGTATGATCAAAGTCGCAAAATGTCAGATATATGATCGGTGCAACATAAATTACGGTTCCATCATACTGTATTATACACTGGGTCGTTGGTATCTCCATATCGACGTTCCACGGTGTTCTAAATGTCCAGACAAATGGTAATAATCGAACGATCAGACTTTAATAACGAAACTTGCAAATTGCAAACGAAATGCTTAGTATGGCGGATGATCGTTCGAAGAATTATGTTAATTAATCCACGGATGGATCCTTTAAATTCCAAGTTAGAGATTTCTTAGAAACGATTGTTATACTAATTGTTAATGAACATTTGTTTACATCACAGGCATTTTTATCGACAACTTACGCGCTGTGAATTACGATGTCCGGAGTCCAGATCATGTTGCTCGTCACGCGAATAGAACGAATATTGCCGAAATCCTGCGGCTTCCACACGAAATGAGAATCTTTCCAGATCTGTGGTTTGTTTAAAAAGTACGAAAATGTTTCTAATTTTCTCTGATACTGATCGGAAATACGTCAACGAATCACTTCACTCACCAATCTTATCCAAACGTTGAACTCGACAGTGTTCTCCAAATTATTCTAACGGATAGGAATAAAGTACAAAGGAATCGAAGATTTATCAATTAATCTTCTATTAAAATTAAACTAAATTCCTAAATATCTCGATTATACGTTATAAAACATTGCCAAATTTATATCGTGTAACGACTTATAAAGAAAAATAATAGCGAAGAAAGATTACTCACAACTTGGAAGTGATATACGTTTAACCCAAAATCAATGGCAGTGGTATTTTTATTCTTGTCTATACTTCTCTCGTAAGAATTGTAATTACAAAATAGATAGTTATACAGCTGTAGCATCGAAGTATTTCTTGGGATGTCTTTGCAAAAGATCGACGAAGAAGTTGCTTGTTTAATTAAAAGAACGTCGAAGATCACGAATAAAACAGGAAATAGATTCTTCATATTTAATCGTGAGAGCTAGGAACGAAACGGCAGATCCACAGTGACTGCAGATCGATAGATCGAGAAGAACAGTCGCACGCCCAGTGAAATGTTAAACCGAGAACATTGAAAACCGCCCCCTTTCGCTTCTTATCACTCACGCTTCTATCAGTTTTAGAATTTTCGATTGTACGTTAATAAATGAAACAAAAATAGACCATTTTCTCTATTCAGAAAATCGTCTCAGAGAAACGACGCTGGTCTAACGCTATTTTTAGTAGACCAAAGAACAAGGGAATATTTAGAAGCAAATTGGAACTAATGAGAAATAAAATCGACGAAAGAACCAAATCGAGGTGCTCCTTTGAGAAGAAAAAGAAATACCTGATCTCGAATTATAATCTCCGAAGTCTAAAATAGAACGAAACCGTACGAACAATCTACTTTAGCCAAAATATCTCCTAATTATATTTAATTATCTACCACACGGATAAATTGATTTAAACGTCTGTCTATTATCACAACTCGAACATTTCTTTTTACACGTGTATATTAAAAGGAATATATATCAGTGTTATCGAAATACTTATTAATAAAGCTAATCAATCAGATAAATTAAATATTAAAAATAGAAGAAAAACCAATAGCGCTTAAAATTAAAAACGTTGTATTTAAAGATCCATAAAGTAAAAAGGAGAAGCATCGCTATAAATGATTGTTTATTAAAAATGAGAATCTACAGTTGACTTTCGATGACACGTAGAACAAAGAACGATTTTCATGAAGATGGTACAAGGATGATAATAATGATGACGTAGATGAAAATCACGAGGAAGAAGAACAACCACTCGATTATGGCCGCGAAATGTCTCCACGACGATTCCTTGGGGCTGGTTCGAGGTTTTGGCAACTCTGAGTTATCTTCGGTTTCTCCGCTCAATATTCTCTCGGTCGATAATTTGGAATCGTCGTCGGCAAGAATGAGGAAACGCCCGGCCCTGTTACTTAGGACGAACGACGTGGTCGTAGAGATCCAATATGGCACCTCGATATTTATCTCTTGCATCTTGCGGAGCAAAGCGGTTAGCATTAAGGCGAATACGGCCAGAAGTAGCGAATTTCGATAGTAGAGTACTGGAAAAGCAAATATTTGGATTAGTAGAGACCTGCTATATCGACTGCGCTGATTGCTAATGATCTACGAGGTGTACTACGTAAGTTTATGTTCGTATGGAGTTATATACTGCGTAACAGGTACAATGTTTGCGTAGAATTACGCTCGCGTGCTACTGTATCTGCACGGAGTTACGTTTCTGCAGTACCATTTTCGTGTAGAAGTACTTCTACTTTCCGTACTACTACCTTCGCGTAGAAGTAGGTCTGTGTGGTATTATTTACACGCAGAACCTCGTTTCTGTAGTTTTATTATACATTCGTGTAGAATTATGTTTCTATACTACCACTTTCGCAATAAAGTTAGGTTAGGTCTCGTAATTAATAATATTAACGATCAGTTCATTCGTAGTCCAAGATACTTAAGATACTTACATATACTAGGAGGATTGGTACCATTGTGAGGTAGTTGCCAATGCAAATCAAATATACAGAGCATATGGCAGATCAAGTTCATCCCAGCCATAGCCATTCTTTCTGTGGACCTCGAGTCCAACCAAAGTACAGTCAATGTAAGCAACATGAGCGCTATAGCAGGTGTAATATACGTGGTATGCATTATACCATGATGTCGACGTATGTCGAACTCGTAGGTGATCATGGGGTAACTATCGTTTGGGCAACATTTGTATTTCTTTAACACTTTGTACGCGTTTACCACTTTGAAATCCCACTCGCTATTGTTCGAGAATCCCTCCATTTGAAACTGCGGAATCACGTAAGATTGAGTATTAATATTAACGAAAAATCCAAAGATTTTTATTATTTAATTGCACTCCGTAAGTTTGTCAAACTTTTGTACTGCTACGCAGGCTTTGGAACTCTAAAACTGTTGCTAATTGCAGTCATTTCGACCAGATACTAATTACCCCTTTTCTGTCCAGGTGGAAGCTCACTTCTTCTCCAGTATGAACCCACGAACCTAAATTAATTCGACATCGATGCGTGTCATAGGGCCAAGAAGAAAAGTCCGTGGCGCATTTAGCTACGTGTCTCATCGATGGCACACAGCTGACCGTCCCTGAGCTCATGATCAAGCATAACGTCGGTGGTATACCGGTCTGGTCCATTGACATGTCGCCGCTATTTAAGGAGAACGTGAGTTTCGATCAAACAGGAATCAGCGAGAGTAAGGGCTCGGAATATCAACTGCCTACAACTTGAGAATCGGTAATTTTTCAAAGACCGCAAGATTTTTAGATCCTCGATGAGGAAAAGAGTTTATCTCGATTCTTCGGAGAAATAAAGTATAATAAAAAGAGAAAATTCATTTCCTAGCAGGTAACTCATTTTTCTGCTTACGAATTATAGACGGAAATATCTGGAACCCAAATTTCGTCACTTTTCATGTGAATAAAATTGATCCCGTCGAATTTGCTAGGCTCCCATGACAAGTGTACATCTGACCAGACCTACAATGAAAAATATTCGACACCCTGGACGGAAAATGCTGGATCGGTACTTGAATGAAATCTGAAGAAAATGGTCACTTACGAGCGTCATCCAGCTGTGCAACGTCATTCTGCTGTTCCAATCATCCTAAAGAACGGATTCAAGAAATAACGTTAAATATGTAAAATTCGAGATGGTTATGTTGACTTCGATCATTTTTAAATCAATGCTTACGAATTCCAGGATTTTTGGCAGCAATTGTATGGTCACGTTGTTGACAATATGATGAGACACAGTCGGTCGGACATTACGGTCGTATTCGCAGAAAAGGTACCTCTTCAGGCCCGTTAATGACGATGGGTTGTCATAATTTTTGCAATTGAGTGACAAACCGATATTATTTACGTCGATTAAAGTGGCTACTAAAGAAAATTTCGAATTAAGATCAGACGTTTGCGTTGCAGACATTTCGTAATATGATCGAAAACAAAATGGCGCTGGCGAAGGTGGTGAAATAAACGGTAAGAAATAGAAGCGATAGAATCGAATAATCAAGCGAATTTAATATGAAATTTTATTTCATTTTATTAATGGTTGAAATGCAACTTTTACTTGAGAAATAGTATAAACGACTGATTGTGAGAAAATTTGTCTGCGTCGAGTTAACGAAGCGATTTGGCAATGACACTTGACAACGTTTTACCTGTGTAACTTTCTCGTAGGAGGTATAAAAGTCCAAGTATCGTTAGTATTCTCATTTTGATTGAAATGAGACAACAGCCACCAGTCGACTGAATGATTCCTCGTTCGTGGCAGAACGATTATCAGACGCCCCGTGAAATTCGAAGCTGCAGATAGGCGAGACGCCCCCATGGTGGTTGAATGCTTTCCAAATATTTTCAGATAGAGCATAATAACGAGGCAATTAGCCATGCACAAACAGCTCAACGATACACGATCACACGATTAATTGACTTTGCCGAGTTTATTCAACCTCGTGACAAATTGCACTTTTGGCCATGGAATGATTTACTGATTTCTAAAGCGTTTCCTCAAACACGAAATGCTCGTATTTCCAAAGTCTAGGGATCTGAGAACTCTAAGAAAATGACTTTTGTGGTATTCAAACAACATTGACAATGACAACATTACTCAACACGAATTTTCATCTGCAATTTTGTGTAATTTTTGTAGAATTTACTTTGCTGGTAACGAACCTTAATCGAAATTACACTATCGTCCTCAGTTTTCGAAAAATGTGAGAGTTTCTAAAAATGCGCGATTTTTGGCTAAAACGAAGTATAACGATAATTAAAGGTATCCTTTCAAATAACAGCTGGTAAATTTAGTCCACTTTCCTTCGAATTTTCTAACACTGTGAATTAAACATTCGGTGACATCGCTCATTTTTTAATGGAAATTTAAAATGTTCATAGACATATTTATTTTGTCAGATTTTGAAGACGTCTGCTGGATACCTGTCGGTGTTACTGACTATGAAAGTTAGACTGATCGAAGATATAAATAACTATATGGCTATAATATGCTTGTCCTCGTTTATGCCAATAAAATACGGACCATGATAGTCATTTTGATTATCCAATATATACATTTGATTATATGATAATAAATATTAACGACGACTTATACACACGGTTCGGTAAGAAAAATATTACGATTATACCAATTTATACATATTATTTATATATTATAGTATTATAGTATAATACTATTATAGTATAAAAAATTATTATTAATATAAAAAACGATTGAAAAATTGGTATATTTTTTAAACTTACAGCTTGTAGAAGCACCATCATCTTTAAAATTATTCATGCACCTCCAATGATACTTGAAGTCACAGAAAAAAGGAAAAAAGGATAATAATAAATTAATTTTTAATATCAAAGCATAGCGGAAAGATATTGATATCGATTTAAAGACAACAATCACCCGTTGGTTCCATCGCGAGAAAGCATAACGAAAAGCATACTAAATTTATTGCATAGTAAAATCCAGAAAACACCAAAACTCCGTATCAACAGTTACGTATCATATCGAATAAATGAATAATTTAAAAACCTAAATTTACACGGAACAGAAGTCAAGCTATTAACCTTATAAATCAACTTCATATTTCATGCAATTTCCAAGTATCATATTCGCCGGTCAACCGGATATCTATAGAAGCACCAATTTTTAATAAAAATACCACTGAAGAGTCAATAAATAAATATATATATATATATATATATATTTGCTGAAAAATTATTATCACAAATTTTACTCGTATTCACAAAAGAAGAATACAACGTGTACCAGTAATACAATGTATACAAGTAAGTTGCAACAACGCAAGCCCTTTCCATCCCTTCTTTCTCATTTTCGTTTGCTCAAAGAGGTTATGAATAATTACAGACGAATATTTGCAAGTGCTGAACTATAACATTACATTCAATTGAAGCATGCAATCGAGAACTTACTGAACTACATAACCGTGAATAATTGATATTTCTAATGCACGAAGGAGGCATGCGCTGTGAAAATGTTTTAAAAAGGAATAGGTTTCGAATATGAGAACCGATGGTTTAGTTACAAGAAGGAGAGCTCGATGGATGTTCAAACAGGTAATTTTACAGATTAATTAGCAAGCATCCATTAAGAAATAATAATTTTTGCGCAAACTTATATTTTATCTCGTCGTCTATAAAATAAAAATAAAAGAAGTTGGTGCTATGTATTTTTAATTACGCCATAGAACTAGAACTTTTAAGTACACCATAGAACTGCAATATACACGTTGTATACTGGATTACGTAAGAGAAAAATTATTTCTTGTACATTCTTATGTATCAGATATAAAATATGTGAATGTCTTGAACAAACTCACAATGAAGTTCATTGGTATCTGGCCAGACGAGAGAAAATGGAACCGGCCATCGAGTTTCTACGTACTGATACCGTTTCTCTTGATGTTCTGCTTCGTCTCTGTACCGATGTGTCTTAATCTCCCATTAATTGCGGACGATTTTAATCTAGTGATCGAGAATTTATCGATGGGTAACATTACTTTCATAATTTCGCTTATAAAGATCTACGTTATCTGGATCCATGGCAAACGTAAGTTTCGCATAGTCGTAAAGATTAGAACTATACACGGTCATAGAAACTGTACGCAATCTTAATTGGAAACGAAGCATTTATATTTAATATTTTGTTAAAAAATTGTATAATATTATATTTAGACAGGAATCAAATCAAATTTATATTTTCCACCTTCGATTTTTATAATTTTTCCCATAAACTGTCTGTAAATAGTTTCGTCTGTAAAGGTTTCGACCTTTGATCGATTTTAATAATTTATTTGCAATTCCATTCGTTATTAAAACGAATTCCAGCAACCTCTAACTTCTTTCATAAGCCTCGATTATATCGAGAGAACTTAGGTTAATAAAGTTAAGTTAATTTGCAATTTGCATACACCACTGAAAGCGAATGTAATGTCCATTTAATTAGAACAAGACTTTGAAGCATATTCTATTCGCCATTTTCTTCCCTTATAAGCAATGAAATGTCTGGTGGACAGCATGGCCCGCGATTGGAACACAGCATCGGACGATAGCGAACATGAAACAATGATAGTGATCGCGAGGCTCACTAAGAGGATTATAGGAAGGAGCATTATGCTTATGCTGTTTGTACTCTTTTCTTTCCTGGTTCTATATATATATTCTGCAAAATTCAGGAGTAATAAACTTTTCTTCTATGGTTACTACTTTTATAACGTCAGCATCAGCCCAAACTACGAACTGACAATGCTTGCTCAATTGTTGAGTATTATTTATTCATCCATCGGCTATACAGTTGTGGACAATTTTGTGGTCATGTTAATTCTACACGTCTGTGCACAGCTTATGAATTTGAGGAACCAATTGAAGAAGTTTCAGGGGTACGATAAGCAAGAGTTGGAGATGAAGTTGAAGAAGATCGTTCGGAAGCACATATATCTGAACAGGTTCGTATGGGAAAACTTTGGATGATCGACGATGATACGTCGATGTGGAGAATTTCTATGTGAAATTTTCTAAATTTTCGTGTCACTGAGAATACGAATTACTCGAGAGTGAAACGTTGATCTGCCAGAACGAAGATTCTTTTTCTATGTCTCGGTGTTACTCCAATTTTTAAGGGAAGAAGAATCTTTCCACTGTGGAAACGAAAGTGTTCTGCATGGGTGGCATATACGTGTGGATCGAGTGGAACGAATACTTATGCCAGAGTGTCGATTGCGAGCGAAGAGTGTGTCTAGGAACGCACTCGAAAATTTGGGGTACATGACGCCATGTTGCGCGTATGAAGCGACTGATGGAGAAAGAGGGAACGGGTTTAGAAAAGGAGAAAATGTACGAGGTTGAAATAATTAGAGTGCAAACGTGTGAGAGCTTGAACTTCTTCGCGGTAGAATTTTATTAATTTTTATTATTACAACTAGATATCTTGCGTGTTTTACTTGTCATCTCCCTAACCTCGTCCCACGAACAGGTGGGATTTAAATTAAAATAATCCCTAGGCTACATTTCGCTAAACTCGCTAATTATGTCACATGCATTTTTAAGGTTCGTAAAAACGGTAGAGAATTGTTGCAACGTGATGCTTTTGATCCAGATGCTCGGATGCACCTTTCAGATGTGCTTCCAGTTTTTAATGGTTATCATGGTACGAAAATAGAGCGTATCCTTCTTGAAATTTTACTAATTCTGTCGCAATTTTATTTGTAGTCGCTTAAAGATGTAACGAACGAATGCTTCTTTCTCCAAATCTTCTTTATGTCAGGATATCTTATATACGTGATGCTGCAGTTGTACATGTATTGTTACGTGGGCGAGAAACTTTCGGTCGAGGTACTGTGAGAAAAAGGGAAATGAATTAATGCTTGTATCTATAATGGACAATTTTTCCAGAGTACTGAGTTGGCCAATGCCGCATACGATTCTGAATGGTACAATTTATCCCCTAGAAGTGCAAAGTTGCTAATAATTATCATATGCAGAGCCAGGACACCGTTAACTATAACAGCAGGCAGATTTTGTTCTTTTTCCATGCAGCTATTCTCTCAGGTAAGAGCAAAAGCGTTATAATATATCCATTAGACATTCTTTCTAATGATAATGAAAAAGATAATCTTCTTTACCACGGACTTTAGCTATTAGAAGAAAGAACACGCGTTAAAAACATTTTACATTTTTATAAAATTTTATACGGTATATATTTAAAGAATATGCACTGTGTTTTTATTCCTATATATATATAGTTCATATTTTCTAAGTAAACAATATTTTTCTCCTTTTTACATATACATCTTGCTTTAATACATGATCAATCTCTTTTGCATTTCAGGTTCTAAAAACCTCGATGCAATATATTTCCGTTCTATGTACAATTAACATGGATTACAAGAATTAATAGACAAAGGATCGTTGAAATTTCCTGACTGTCCTCGTAGCGATGATAGTGCGATAGAAATTTAGTGTGTTCTTCTTTTTAAATTTTGATCCTGAAAGCAATGAATTAACCGTCAAAGAAGCGAGAAACGAAAATAAATGTGAAATTAGACGTTGTGCAAAGTATTAAAGCTATCAATTATTAACGAGAGTGCTTCTGGTGAAAGTTCGAGACATAATTTCTTTTTTCCCGTCTTCTATCCCTCGACATTTTTTTCTTCGAAAAACTTTGGGTGCATACTTGAACAGCTTTAAGCTCATTTGTAGACGAGTGCTTACGGCCGATCCGCATATCGAAGAATATTTGATGAAGCAGTGTACGATTACGTCGAATACAATGTGCAAAACGAATTTTAATCTTTAATATCCATTGTATAATTATGCGGAGTTTACTTTCCTGAAAACGAATCCATAATCGAAATTGCTCTGTTACCCTCAGTTTTCGAAAAATATGAATTTTTCGAAATGGACTAGATTTTTGACTAAAATGAATTATTACATGAAAAGTAATAACGTGAAAATTCATTGTTGTCTTACAAGTTAGGTGAGAGTATCCCGAGTTTATTAATGTCCATAATTATAATCATTTGTGCACCTAAGCAACTATAGTTAATTATTAAATGCAGTGATAGTTGATAAAAAATGTATAAATTATAAAATTTATCATTAATAATACATTGAAATTGTCAGTAATACATTGCTTAAAGCATAAAAATACTTAATATAAATGCATCACGGAAATTTATATTCTAAAAGCAAAATATAAATAAAGTCTATAAATTATTTTATTTATTGTTAATAACAAATTAATATCGTTAATAACAAATTGTACGCAATGTAAATTTATAATAAAAGTGAAAAAGTTAATAATTAATTGCATATTTGCTTGAATTTATAACGAGCTTGTGTTAAAATGTAGCAATAATTTGCGAAAAATTAATAAATTATTGTATCTATTGTTAATAACAAATTAATATTGTCACTAACAAATTGTTCACATTGCAAATTTATAATAGAAGTGAAGAAATTAATTAATTATCGACTATTAACGCAGAGAAATAATAATTAATGGAATCGATAAAGTTCGGAAATTCCGTCGATGTTCGGCTGATCGGCAGCTATATAAGGACCGACGCGACGAAACTAAAACCATTTGTCAGTTCGACTTGGGACGTAGGGGGCAAAAATTTTTAGTGCGCGAAGGGGTGGGAGGTCCGAAGTGAGGTTGGGGTTAGCCACCCTACCCTCACCCCACCCCATTAAACAATTTAATCATAATTTTTTCTTCCAGGTTTAATTTATTTTTTTTTCAGGATTTAATTTTTTTTTCGTTTCAGAATTTAATTATTTTATTTTTTTTCAGATTTCTTTACCCTCTCTATTTATTCTCATTTATGAATTCGAATATTTCGTATAATATTGTTATATCGTATAATAAGTTGGTTTGCTTATGTCTCAACGTTAGTTCGTTTATATCTCATCATTGGGTTCTTCATGTCTTACCGTTGGTTTGTTTATGTATCATCGTTGGCTTGTTCATTCCGTATGGTTAATCTTTGTAGTTTATATTCGTTTCGCTTTTATTTTGTTTTTATTATTTGTTACGAATCCATTTCTTTTCAGGTTTATATATTTTGTTTTCAACTTTTCAGATTTTTCAAGACATCTTTGGACGACGCGGGATGCGTGCGATTATTACATCTAAGTAGATTTAAGTACCTATATGGTAGATTTTAAGTTTTTAAGATTTCATCGGAAGACGTTGGACGGCGAGGGATGCGTGCGTTTAGACTTACGTAGCTGTAAGTAGTTATAACATAGATTTCTAGACTAAGTTTCATGTGCGCGTTATCTGTTCACAGGCAAACTACCTAACTTGGAGCGAAATATATCAATTCTCTATTCCCCTCGTTTACCAAATAGAACGTAATTGTTCTCGCTACAATTGCAATTGTTCTTAAGTATCGACTAGTCTACGCGACGTACTTCCCGTGTACTCGACAACTCCACGCCTCGTAAGACATTCTCACGGCTCGTCTCCGACACTCATTTCTGCCACTGTCAGTCTCGTCTTGCATCGGGATCTCTGGTGACCCTCGGGCTGGTGAGGCATCTGGAGTAATACGAGGGTCCGTCGACCTTAGTCGTCCTGGGTACCAATCCGTGCACACGACCGGGGGATGGGCCCTGCAGTCGGAATCATTGCAAGAGCGTGCCTGCCTGCCCCTCTAGCACTTGGTGGCTAGTGGTTATGTTTGCATAGAGCCGGGGTATGGAGCATGCGCGTGATTCCGACTGTTAGGCCTTACATAGGACTCTCGGATTGTCTCTGGGTGTTTCACTGGTTCGTTGGCTGCCTCAGGTCATCGAGTAAGCCATAGCGAGATCGGCAGTGGCAGGGTGAGTAAGGCCCGATCGGATGGGTGCTGAGGTGTGAAGTTGCTTGTACACGGGAGTGCGTCGCGTAGGCTAGTCGGACTTTTGAATAATCGCGTCCCTTTTGTAAGACACGATATTTAATAAATTGTCAGTAGCTTTACTTTAACTTCTTTCGCTCGAAGTTAGGTTAGACTACCTTTGATACAGATAGCGCCAGCAGGCTGCGCCACTAGGGCGCATGTCGGGTCTCGATGCGTAGCCACCTCCACGTGGTGAGACCTGGTAATTGGTATCGTTTTCCAAAGAATAATTTCAGGAAAACGATACCAAGCTAAGAGCTACGCACAAAGTTTAAGATATTTCCTATTTTTTGTAAATTTTCAATGTTTCAGTTAAACATTTGACGATTTTTGAGGTTGCGAGAGGTAAGTGGACGGAATTCTTGACAATGACGTCATTCAAATACAGTTATAGTTCATAAAAATGTATAAATAATCTAATTTGTTATTAATAATAAATTGTTCATAGCGTAAATTTAGAATACAAGAAAAGAATTAATTCATTGGTTATTACTTGAACAATATCGTACTAATGTTTAAATGTATCTATAATTTACAAAAGTGTAAAAATTATTACACTTATTTCTAATAACAAATTGGTCACAAATTTATAATACAAGTGGAAAAATTACAAAATTAGAGGCTATTACTAGTATATATAACGTATTTACGTGAAAATGTATATATAATTAGCAAGCAGTTAATAAATTGCTACATTTAGTGTTAATAACAAATATTTTGCAACGTATATTAACGATAAAAGTCAGAAAAGTTAATAAATTATTAACAACTACTTAAACAAACAACGTATTTTTATAAAAATCTATTCGTAACTTACAAAAAGGTAATAAATTAATAAATTTATTGTTAATAACAAATTAAAATTGTCGATAACAAATAGTTTGAAACGTATATTAACGATAAAAGTCAAGAAAGGTAATAAATTATTAGTTATTACAGCGGAAAAGTAACTTTTAAAGGAATCGGTAAAGTTCGGAAATTTTCGCTGATCTTCGTCCGGTCGCGGCTATATAAGGGGCCCGCGTGCAAGCTCGAGCCAGTTCTCGCTTCGACTTCGGAGGGTCCGCGTTAATATTTTTTATTTCAGCTACTAATTATTTTTTGTTTCAGGTTTTAATT